TGGTCTCCAGAATGCACATTTGAGCCTCTAACTCTGGCCATCAAAGAAAATGGTACCCCATTACACCAACTTGATATATTATTTGTTGTTTTTGTTCAGTCGCTACGTTGTGTCCGACTCTGCCACTCCATGAACTACAGCACACCAGGCTTCCCTGTCCTTCACTATCTCCTGCAGTTTGCTCAAACTCATGTCCACTGAGTTGATGATGCTCTCCAACCATCTCATTCTCTGTTACCCCCTTCTCCTCCTGCCCTCAATCTGTCCCAGCATCAGGGTCTCTTCCAATGAGATGGCTCTTCGCATCAGGTGGCCGAAGAATTAGAGCTTCAGCATCAGCCCTTCCAATGAATATTCAGGACTGATTTCCTTTAGGATTGACTGGTTTGATCTTCTTTCCATCCAAAGGACTCTCAAGCATCTTCTCTAGCACCACAGTTTGAAAGCATCAATTCTTCGTCTCTCAGCCTTCTTTACGGTCCAACTCTCACATCCGTACAATAACTCTTGGAAAAACTGTAACTTTGCCTAGACGGACCTTTGTCAGCAAAGTAATGTCTCTGCTTTTTAATATGTTGTCCAGGTTTATCATAGCTTTTCTTCCAAGGAGCAAGCGTCTTTTAATTTCATGACCACAGTCACCATCTGCAGTGATTTTGGAGCCCCCCCAAAATAGAATCTTGTATTATTGACCCAAATCAAATATGACTTCTCCTGGGGGAAGCAGTGTGAGGAGAATTCCAAGGTGAAGTGGACGCTTCAGGTTCCCACTGCTCTTCTCCATGCAAACCAAACCCTAGGCCAGGGGCGTCTCCAGGAGGGTCTTGGAAATGCAGGTAGAGAGCCAGAAGTGGGGGCCTGCAAAGAGCAGCCCAGGCAGGGCTGTGACACCTCAGAGACAGAGTAGCATTGAGCTCTGATGGAAGGCCATGCATGTCTTGATGCCAGGTGGTCACTGCCTGCCAGGGAATGGGCAGATGAACATCAAGATCTCAGTGAGGCATGCGTGAAGACTTTAACAGGCTAATGAGCACAGTCACCATGCAGGCCACTCCTGCCCAGGGCTTCAGGCAAGAGTCTACATGCATGTCGCCTGCAGGGCTGCCCCGTTCCCTGGGCCTAAGCCCGTAGCCCTGGGATCTGGCCAATTGCTGACCGTGGATGGCAGTGCCTACTGCTCCCCGGGGACCTTCAGAGGCCCACAGGCCTCAGGCGCTGGCACCTGGCCGTGCTTCTCAGTGTCAGGGCTGGAATGCAGTCAGAAATGTTATTACTATAGCAACCATAACTGGAATGTCCATTGTACTTTCAGTTTCCAGATGTGTTTTCCGGTTCTTTCAGTTGATTTCCTTGGAGTCTCAGGGAGGTGCAGTGCCTGGCCCAGACTCACATAGTTAGCAAGCAGCAGTGCCAGGGTTTGACCGGGTGGTTTGGCTCCAAACCTCTGTCACGTGGCAAAGTTGTCCAAGGATGGATGCTTGCCTTCAGAGCAGGGGTTTGCAGGGGCCTGGGTCCTTGACCCAGCACCCTAGGGGCCTCTTCTGTCCCGTGGACTCTGGCTGCCCTTGAGGCTGAGATATTGGCTGCAGCCTAGAGGTTGGTAAAGACCCTTTTCACTTCCGTGGTGAGACATGATCTCTTGACAGGATACAAGAGGGGCCCAGGCCTCCTTCTCTGAACATGACAGCCTGGGCCCCCATGGGGGTTTGCGGAAGCAGGCAAATTCAGCATGATCTCTTTCTGGACCAGCTTGGGAGGCAGCCCGCCTCACCACGACCCGGACACAGCTCACATCATCTGCCGAGGGGTCAAGACCGTGGGGGTCACAGAGAGGTGGTGCGGTTAGGGAAGGTGGCTGAGGGACCCTGTTTCTTTTCAGAAGGGAGCAGGCCCTGCCCACCTAGAGACTGACAAGCAGGCGGTGTGGACCGGGAGCCCCGAGGGCAGGGACAGGGCTGTGGACTCTGCTCTGTTGCCAGCATCTGGCTGAGCCTGGAGCCCATGCCTTTTGCAATACATGTTTTTTTTTTCAGCTGAATCTCAGATCACCGAACAGGTTGTGTCTGGGTCTCACCTGAATGTGGACTGATTGTTTCCAATGGGACGGGGCCACAGCAGCCTGTGTGGCCCTGGACATGGGGCTGGCATGACCACTGTGGTCAGAGCGCCCAGCCTCAGGAAGCCAGGCTCATCTCAGTGGTCCCAGGACCACAGGTGAGGGGCTGGGCCTAGCACACCCAAGGGTCTAAGGTGAGGTAGGAGGCTTCACAGGTGGGGCTGCACTCAGAAACCAAGGCATGTGGGCAGGTGCCATTCAAGATGCCAGGTGGGGAGCAGGGATTCAGAAAAAACAGTCTTTAGGAAGGGAATTAAAAACCAGCCTGGGGACCTTCCATGCCATAGAGAATGTGGAGAGAACAAGATAGAGCTCCCACCCTGTGTGGGACCTGAGGCTTAAAGATAGGAGAAAGGGCTTCCCTGGTGGTCCAGTGGTTAAGCATCCGCCTGCCAATGCAAGGGACACAGGTTTGATCCTTGGTCCAGGAAGTTCCCACATGCTGAGGAGCAATTAAGCCCGTGAGCCACTGCTACTGAGCCTGTGTGACTAGAGCTCACGCACTGCAACAAAACGAACCACTGCAATGAGAAGCTCACACACCATGATTAGAGAGTAGTCCTGACTCCGGCAGCTGGGGAAAGCCTGAATGGAGCCATGAAGACCCAGTGCAGTCAAAAGTAAATAAATAATAAATATTAAAAAAAGAGAGATAGGAGATGAAGCAGAGCAGAAACCCAAGGATCTGAATTGGCCAGTAGGCCAGGGACAGACTCCTGACCGGGGGACCGCCCCGAGGCACGGAGATGGGCTGGAGCCAGCTATCGGTCGGTTGGGTGCTAAGAGTGGTGCCCGGAGGAGAGGAGGGCCGCAGAGACAGGACACAGGGGAGACGGGGCATCTCTTGAGGGGCACAGATAGAAGGAATGGGAGCCTGGAGTCCTGAGTCACTCTGGGGCAGGTATTGAGAGAGTCATGCCCATCTGCTGTCACGTTGTGAAGTCCCACCTGCAACCCCACTCTGTCCAGGGGAAATACAGGCAGAAAGATAAAGGTCTCTGCCCTTGGAGCTTGTGGTCCAGTGGGGAACCTGGACCTCAATGGACCTCAGAGCAAGCCAGTGAGGGGCCTGTGTACAAGGAAGCCCAAATCAGACCAGAAAAAGGGGCATCGCGGCTGCAGGCCTGTGGAGAGGTGGGGTGGAGATGGAACAGGGACATTCCCCCGAGAGGGAAGAGAGAGACATGGAGAAAGTCACTACTGGGTTTTGTACCTTCTCAAAAGAATGGGAGAAAAAAGGAAGGTAGGAATGAAGGAAGGGAAGGAAGGAGGGAGAAAGGAAGGAAGGAAAACAAGGAAGAAAGGAAGAAGGAAAGAGAGAGGGAGGCAGAGTTGGGGAACACAGGTCTGACAAGTGAAGCATCTCAGTGTCACCCCCAAGGTCAAGCTGAGACCTCATTCCCTACAGAACGTGCTCAGAGCGGACACAGCTTGTTCCCCACTGAGTCAGGGGAGATGGCAGTCCCACTGCAGCGCTCCCACGGGCAGGAGGGAGGGGGCTGCTATGGACGTGCTCCTCCATGTCCCCCAGGCTTCACTCTTGGAGCCCAAGGAGCTGATGCAGCAGGCGCTGAAGATCCAGGGCCCAGGGAGGCCTCTGGGGTGCCCGCTTCTCAGCCGGTGTCTGGAGAGGCCCAAAAGACTGCAGGTTCTTTGCTCAGCATGGGCCTCCCTTCCAGGCCCCTAGGGATGCCAGGGGTGCCTGCAGCCCCCAGAGGCCTGGAGCTCCCGGAAGCACATCCTCCTGATGGCTCTCGGTGGCCATGGAGGATTTACTCTGTGGACCATGGATGGAATTCTCCAAAGTTGGATGGACAGGATTGCCTACTCCAATACTCCCACCACAGTGGGTTCCCCTCAAGTGCCCTCTGGGGGACCACCGCTCTCCCCCCATCCTTCCTTGACCCCCTTCCTTCTTTTAACACTCTCACTGTTGTCCTCGAGTTAGGTTTCTCTATTTTTCTTGTCCAAAACATACGATGAAAGCATTCCATGATTTGCATGCACGGTATTTGCCTCTAGTTATAAAGAGAGGCCTCCCTAGCTGGAAGGGCAGAGGACTCAGCACAGGGTGGGTGTGGGGGGGCCGAGAGGGGGTGCAGAGGGCACCCAAGCAGGCCTGGAGATGGGGTGGCTCCTCCATGACCCCTCTCCTCCCCCCACCCTGCCCTGGGGCCCAGAGGCTCAGCTACCAAAGTGGAGGGGTGAGGGGGGCCCTGTGCTCAACCCCCAGGGCTTCGGGGAAGCCAACGTGTATGCAGAAGCTCTAGTGGTAAAGAACCTGCCTGTCAGTGCAGGAAACATAAGAGACACAGGTTCGGTCCCTGGATCAGGAAGGTCCCCTGGAATAGGAAATGGCAACTCACTCCGGTATTCTTGCCTGGAGAATCCCATGGACAGAGGAGCCTGGTGGGCTACAGTCCATGGAGTCACAAAGAGTCAGACATGACTGAAAGACTTAGCACACACACAGTGAAAGGGCAGGCCCACTACTGCTGGAATCAGTGGTCATTTTCCCGGGCACTGCCATCCAGAAACCTGAGCCCAGAATCAAGAGCTCAGCCAGCACCTCCTGCCTCCTCTGGACCCTCCCAGCTTTTCTCGCCCCTGGCCTTGGTCCCTCTCCAGGCTACATCTGGCCTCCCATTCCAGAGCACTTGATGTTCGCTCATGTCCTCTGACCTGCACTCCAGAACCTTCCCCTTTCCCGTGAGGGTCACAGGGGAGATGCCCCCAGACAGGTCCTAACTTCATGGCAACCTCACCAAGCAGCCACCTTCCTTTTGGGAGTAGCACCATCGGATCTTCTGTTCCACTGTGGCCTCTGACCTCCTCCCGCACCCCCCCACGTCCCCAGAGCACCAGAAATGCAGCCACCCCATCCTTTCACTCTCATGTGCATTTATTGAGTGCCCACGGAGTGCGTGGTCCTATGCCCAGGCTTCGGAGCCACAGTCTAGTCAAAAGGAGACTGGAGCTAATACAGAGAACGTTTCATAGCTGGGAAGGGCTGGGGATGGAAGAGAACTAATCACAAAACAAATTTCTATTGGAAAGCAACAGATCTCCTCTGAGAGTAATATATATTCTACGCACGCGCACACACACACGCACACACACACACACACACACACTCCTGTGATGAACACGGACGTCAGCCGCTTGACTGTATCTGCACACACATACAGTACAGGTGCGCGGAGTTAAGTAACTAACCGGGAAGCTGTCCGCGCACGCACACGCGCACCGCCGCACGCACGTAGAGTCTGGCTTATGCTATCAAAGACACTAGTCTCCAGGTTCTAGAGAAGCAATCAGACCTAGATGCCTGCAGCATGCAAAACTTGAGGATCCAAGAGTCACGGTTAAGGAGGACGATGGGGACACGCGTGGACTCCTCCACCGGGGCCCGGCTGCAGCGCTGGCCGTGGCTCAAGGTCAGGAAAACAGAGCCTCTGAGAAGGGCCCCCCGGAGCAGAGCCGAGGGGCTGGGGGCCCTTGGTCCAGGGGCAGGGCCCTCGGGAGGCCGGCGGAGTTCACCAGTCTCGAGGGCACTCCAGGATGGATCGTGTCGTCCTGCAAACAGGGTCCCTGGTGGCCGAGCTGCAGATGGAGGCGAGTTTCCGGGCTGGCTCGCTCGCTCTCTGCAGCCTCCCACGTGTGCTAACGCATTTTGTAGTAATTAGATACAGATGTTTCGCACAGCTGTCCCTTAAAATCCAAGTCTACTGTGAAATCGAGGTCTCGCTGCAAAGGAGGAGGAGTCGGGGCGTCAGCGCCAAGGAGCCCGGGGACCACGCCCCTCCCCGCAGGCGGAGGGCCGGGCGCATCTGAGCTGCTAAGGGTTTCCAGCTCAGGACACCCCACAAACAGCCCTCACGACCCTCTTCCAGAGGCTCTTGGGAAAAGAGCCTCTTGGGAAAGTCGTTGGTTTCTAACCTAAATCCTTCCTGTCAGAATATAGAGATGTCCCCTCCGGCTTCAACTCTGGAGGAGTGCAGCGGTTGCCTCTCAGAGGAAGAGGCCCCAGACGCCCCCCACCCCCACCCCAACCTTGGCGTTTGCAGGGCCCGTGCCTGGCCTGGGGAGTGAGGGGGCGGGCCCAGAGAAAACCACACGGCCCAGCCCACCAGGCCAGCTGGAGGAATGCCAACTTGTCTTCCAGGCCACCAGACACAGCGGTTTCCTGGCTCAGCTCATCCCAAACCAGGTGAAACCCATGGCAACAGCCTCTGCTCACGGAACCCCTCTCATCAAGGGCTGGAAGCTGCCCTCATGGCTGGGAGGGTCTCAGGGGACCCTGCAGGAGAGCTCCAATTCTCCAGTTTTAAGGGGTCCAGGTTGGGGTGCTTCTAGGATGCCATCACATCCACATCTGCCTTTCTACCACCTCCCCTGTAACGTTCCCCCCTGCCAGCCAGTAGGGGAACCCCCCCTCCTTGTCCCTCCTCCTTTCCGCGCCACCCCCACCTCCCCACTCCCCAAACCTTCCATTTCCCTCCTCCTTTCCGCGCCACCCCCACCTCCCCACTCCCCAACACCTCCCCACCCCCTGCCTCAGCACTCACCACGTTTTTGGCATTTGGCTTCATGGATATAGTCCCGTAGATCTCCTCCCCTCTCCGGACAGTGAGGTAATCTTCCAGGTAGAAGACAGTCTGCTTCCAATGGGTGTAGGGGGCGTCAGGGGCTGAGGGAGAGAAGGGGGAGTCAGAGGAGATGCCTCCGGGGGCTTCCCTGGTGGTCCCCCCGCTAAGACCTCTGCGCTCCCAGTGCAGGGGAAGGTGAAAGCCACTCAGCTGGGTCCGACTCTTGGCGACCCCATGGACTATACAGTCCATGGAATTCTCCAGGCTAGAATACTGGAGTGGGTAGCCTATCCCTTCTCCAGCGGATCTTCCCGACCCAGAAATCAATACGGGGTCTCCTGCATTGCAGGTGGACTCTTTACCAGCTGGGTTACCAGGATAGCCTCCAGTGCAGGGGGCCAGGGTTCAATTCCTAGTCAGGGAACTAGGTCCTACGTGCTGCAACTAAAGATCCCATGTGCGGAACTAAGACCTGGTGCAGTCAAATAAATAAGTATTTTTTAAAAAGAGAGAGAGAGATGTTTCGAGAAGGGCAGGGACCCCACCCGGAAGCTGCTGGGTTTCTTCTGGGACACTCTGAACACCCTGCCCAGCCCTCTCGCTGGGTCAGGTGCCCAGCGCCAGCGCCTGTTCCAAGTTCTGGCAGGTCTCCCCACTCAGCCCAGGGGCTCAACTTGTCATCGACTCCCCACGCCCTCCAGACTGAGGATCTTAGTGGAGAACCAGAGGAGAAACAAACTGACATTACAAGGTCATACCAAAGGTGGTATTAACACAAATGAATCTGAAAATGCTGCTGTTTCATTGGTTCAACAGAGTGAAGACTTGCAGACAGGTTCAGGGAAGAGATATGGAGGGCAGTCCATCCAGTCTCCTGTTAAATGACACCACTCACTCCAACTCCATGGCTAAACCAGTTTCCCCAATTTCATGGATATTCCAACCCTACAAACAGTTTTCTCTGCCTGCCTCTCTGTCCTAGATCAGTGGTTCCCAACCTTTTTGGCATCAGTGACCAGTTTCGTGAAAGATAATTTGTCCACAAACTGGGTGTGGGGGGATGGTTTCAGAATGATTCCAGTGCACTACATTCATTAGGCACTTTATTTCTATTATTATTACATCAGCTCATCTTAGATCATCAGGCATTACATCCCAGAAGTTGGGGACCCCTGCTATAACCCATCCTGCTACCCTTGACTCAGGCCTGCCGTGGGGTTTTAGCTGAGCCTTCCCACCTAGATAGGATAAAAATTCAGAATGATTCTCCTTCTACGGACCCAACGCTGGTCCACAGCTCACACCTCATGCATGAACCAAAGCCACACTGACACTTGCACCTCCCGTGAAATCCCATCCATCCTCTGGGCTCATGACAAATTCTACGAATAGATGAGGGGTCCTGGCCCAGCAGCTGCCACCCCTGGGACACTCTTCCCTCTCTAACCACCAGCCTCTCCCTTCCTCATCCTCCAAGGTCAATTCTCAGGAGAGCCTTACCTGACCACCCAGCTGGATTAAGGGTGTCCTGAGCCCGTGTGATTACTGTAACAGTCACACGGCTGCATAACCATCTCTGTCTCTTTTTACTTTCTGTAGTCTCCGCAAGACTGCAACCTCCATCAGGACAGGGGTCTGATGGACTATTACTATTATACCCTTGGAGCCCATCACCACACTTGCTAGGTCTGTGAGCATCGAATACATGACGGATAGTAAAAAGCCAGAGGGGGTCTATTGTGAGGCTTCAAGGTACCCAGGGATGTTCACCAAAGTTGAGACTTTGGAACCAAAGAGTTCCTCTTGTCCTGCAGGCTCTTACCTTCCTCCACCAGGAGGTGTGACTCATGAACACTGATTCACTCTTTGCTTACAACCAGAGCTAAAGGTGGAAAGCCTTGGGGAGGACGTAGTAAGTGACTTTCAAATACTTCAGAGGCTGTCACCTGAAAAGTCTGTGGCCTTATGGATGGCTTTGGAGACAGAACAAAGGCTAAGCCCTGGGCATCATCAGAAGGCAGAGTTTTAATTCGCAGGAAGAATTGGGGCTGTCCCTCAATCGTACTGGCCACTGGTGGTCCAGCCTGAAGGAATTCACACACAGCCTGCCTGGAGATTTATTGCACCCCCAGTGGGATCAAGATCATTCAACCCTCAGGATCTATTTTAATGGTGGTGAAGAGTTTGTCTGTGTCCTTCGTAATAGACTGGCTTGATCAAATGTCAGTGGTTTGAATACAGATTTGAGTAACCTTCGATGCAAGGAAATCAATGCAAAATCAAGGTCATGGAGAGGGGAAGCAGCCTGAGCACTTGGAAAGGCTTGAAGGAGGATCATGAACATGGAGTCTGTGCTGCTCAGATTGTGAATCTGTAAGCACATCCAGCCTTCCTGGCCTCCAAGGCATACTGCTGTCCATGGGCAAAGTCCAGCTGTTCCCAGTACCTTCTCTGCCAACGGCACCTAAACAAATTGTCAAAAGATAGTTTCTGGGGTGTGCGGAGAATGGCAGTGAATGACTGACAGCACTCTCGCCCCCACCACCACCCACATCAGCCCAGACAGGTGCCTCTCCTGTTCTTAAAGACCTTCAGGCAAGGAGATTCCAGCAGCTTCCTTCTGTCTCCTAATCAGATGCCCTTGGAGACTCCCAGAGATTTCACTGACTCAGATCTGCCAGCCAGCGAGCCTAGACCATCCACCTCTGATGCTGGCCCCGCCAAAATGTGCCAGCCTTGAGTTGCAGGAAAGGGATTTTTTTTTTCCTTCAACATCAACATCAAAAGGTTAAGAACTTCCCCAAACATCTCATTTCTGTGATGGGTCAGCAGACTCATTGTCTAAAGCAGTTTTTTCAATCTGGGGTCTCCATCAGGGTTTCCAGGAGAAGCTGATTGCAATGTAGATGTTTTGACTCTGGTCCTAGGGGTTTGAAATCAGTAATTCTAGGGTCTGAGAAGGGGGCAGGTTTGCCAAGATGTAAATATCTTGTGTAGATAAACAAACAAGGCCGCAATGGTTGTGCAGACCCAGTCCTTCATATCCTATACATCTTTTGGGTAGGTGTCAGTGGAAAGGACATTGAATGAGGCAACAAGAGGCCCAGTGTCCAGTCTTCTTCTGCACTGTGACCCTGGCACTCATGCTCTACATCTGCAGAAGGTTTATCTCATGAAGGACGGTGAGGATTAGAAGACGGGAAAGGGGGTAGGACACATTGAATGTGACCACCTCCTGTTGCACCCGCCCATGTTCCCAGTGTAATTACCAAGAGCTCTCCTCTTTACTCTCAAACTGTCCTTGAAAGATGAATTGCATGGTCACCTTATATATATATGTATATATGTATGTAAGTATGTATGTATGTATGTATGTATGTATATATAACATATCAGGCCCAGATCAGGGTATTGTTAAGCCATTGCATTAGGTGGTCATTTACTCTTTGTGGAAAATGGTATATCATGTCATTTATCTAACAACTATAGCTCTGGCTTATAAAGCAGGGCTGCCACACTGTCTTGGTCTGGAATGTTCTAGGATTGATTCCCCAGAGAGTTGCTGGGCCCAAGGGTGAGAACTCAGCATCACTATGGACCATAACATCCAGAGAGTTGGTCAGTGAACAGGCCTTTCCCTCACTCCTTGCCCCAACGATAACCGTCAAGGTCATGTCAGTGGTTTTTAAATTTCCGTTATGATGATACTGTCATTCATTCACTCATTCATATGCTTGCTCATTCACTCAGCAGACATCCATTCAGGATGCCTATCGTCTGCTTGACATGGTCCTAAAAGTGGGGAACAGCAGCCAGTACAGCCTTGCCCCATGAGATCCAACAAGCTAAGTGAGAAGACACTAGGGTAACTGGCCGTAACATCCAGTGGGGATTGTGACTGGTTGTCACAGAGGCTGGGAGTGGGGCATACAGGGGCCAGTGGGTACGAACAGAGGGCCCTCTCACAGGAAGACTTTTCCTGGTGCTTTTGGAGACAGAGTGGAATCCTGCCTCCTGGTCTCTTTCCAGTGGTTAAGGGGATGGTAGTTCTTTCTGGAATTTAATACTNCCCTTTCACAGGAAGACTTTTCCTGGTGCTTTTGGAGACAGAGTGGAATCCTGCCTCCTGGTCTCTTTCCAGTGGTTAAGGGGATGGTAGTTCTTTCTGGAATTTAATACTTCTTCTAGCTGTAAATTTGTAATTCTATTCCCTAGGGTTTTCACAAGCGTTTTGGAGAATTCAAAACTGCATGAAGAAGCATCTTTGACCTGAGGAGCTGACTTGGTGTCACAGGGAAGCCAAGCTGGGAAAGGGGATGCTAGGCCATTGAGTCCATGTGGCCATTTCACTCATTATGCGCCCAAGGCCCAGAAAGGGACCCACTCAAATTTATCTCCACTGCCCGCTGCCCTCCCTTACTGGTTCCTGGAAAAGCTAGTACTTAACCCCAAGTCTGCTTCTACTCAGTACCGCCCGTCCACCCACACAGTCTCCGCAAGGGGCCCAGTTCACATTTCCTACCCCACCCGCAGAGCATATGTCCAAGGGGCAGAGCCGCTGGGCCCGCCGGCTGATTGGCACAGCCCAGAGCTCTGAGTGGCTGTGCCCATTTGCAACAGCTTCTGCCCAGAGCTTCAAGGGGAAGACACGGGCAGAGCCGTTAGCAGGGATGGTTTCCAAGCTGCACAGCGTGATGTGCTTTCCAGTGTCTCCTGGAGCAGCTGCAGCCCCTGGGGGCCCATGGGGAGGAACCACTTAGAACAACCTGCATTTCAACTCAAGTTCAAAGCTAGCTGAGACCAAAAATACCTTATTTAGGTCTACACATACACATGAGACAACTTTTTAAAAATAGCAGGGGATAATTAACCCAAAATTCAGGATAATGTTCAGCTGAAGGCGATGTGGGGAGTGGGATAAGGGGACTCTGAATTAATTTAATCGCCTGTGTGATCAGTCATGTCCGACTCTGTGACCTCGTGGACTTTAGCCCACTAGGTTCCTCTGTCCATGAAATTTTCCAAGCAAGAATGCTGGAGCAGGTCACTTCCTACTCCAAGGGCTCTGCCCAACCCAGGGAGCGAACCCATGTCTCCTGCTTGGCAGGCAGATTCTTTACCACTGAGCCACTTGGGAAGCCTCCTGAATTAATTGACTTACATTTAGTAATTATAAACCTTATTGTATTATGCTTGTTAATAATGTATTTCAGTTTAATATTTATATTCTAATTAACAATAGTTTATCTCTTGATATTAACTAATACATTTACATTCTACTACTAATAAACTTACTTCTAGTCACTATTTCATTCGAATTAATAATACTTCATTTACAATCTAGTTACTGAGCTAGGTGGCAAGTTCACAAGCATTTGTTGTGTTAATTAAAACATAAGCAAAAAGTGAACCGTGAGTGGTAGTATGTCATAGTACTATGTCATGAGCCACAAGTTAGGATTAATCTATTTCTGCACATCTGGGGTCCTTAAACAGAAAGAGGAAATACTCTTTCCCCGGAGATCAGAGTGCAGAGGGTCTGAGTAAGCCCGACCGCCCACCCATGCCAGCTGGTAAAGATGGCAAGACATCCGTGACACGCTGGACCAAAACCCTACGCTGACATCCACCAGAAACAGACCAGCTCAGGGAAAGACAGACCACAGCTGGGAGCTAGCTATACAGGGCTAGAGCCCAGGCGTTAGAGACACAGAACTCTTTCCAGACAATCCTTGCCCCCTGACTTTCTCATCTCCGGCAGCAGGGTGGGCGGGCCCTGGGGGAGGCAATCCCGGGGATGGAAGAGGGAGACACAGCCCTGTGGCTCCACCCTTGGCCTCCAGTCACAGCCGTGACCCTCCAGCAGGCTCCTCCTCAGCCTCAGTGCCGCCCCCACCCCACTGAAAGGCTGAGTCCCACCCATCTTTCAAGATCCAGGTGAAATATCCCACCCGCTGCATGCTGTTCCCCCAAAGAGAAGATAAACTGGTCTGCTTCTCCTAAAGGAAGCAGAGCAGCTGCTAATAACCGGGGCCAGAGTCCTCTGGTTTTCCCGGGATGAGGAGGCACCAGGGCTGGCCTGGCTGATAAAGACCAGAGGACCCTGGTCTTGGTGGTCAGGAGACAATGACTCCGGAAGAAGCCCTCTGAGGAATTAAGGTAAGTCTCTTGCTTGCTCTTTGCCACAAGGAAGTCTCACTCCCCTCCGTAACCTCTCCTGCACACAGGAGGTGCTCAGGAAACACTAAATGAATAAGCGTGCATTCAAAAAGGCAGCCCCAACATCTGCCCCTGCCCACCCGACACTGACTCTCAGCTCTGGCCATGGCCATTACAGTTTTTTACCTTCTCCTCTAGCAGCCTGAACTGTGGGGAACGTGCCATTCCTCCAGGACTGGAGAGGCTTGCGAGGTGCCAAGTGAGGATCCCCGGCTGATGCCCCCCGGCCCTTGCCCCACGTCCAGGCTGGGGAGGTCACGTCCCACAGAGCCTGGGCACCAGGCCGGGTGGGTCTGGAAGGCCAGCAGGAGGCTCACCTGTGGAAAACCCCATTTTCTTGTGGCACTTGGTAAACTCGATATTGAAATAGGTGACCAGGGCGTGGACGTAGTCGTTGCGCTGTACCTGCAGGCAGAAGGCGGACGTGAAGGACAGCTCCTCCGTCTTCACCGTGTAAATGTCCACCTCCTGCAGTCCAGAGGAGAGAGAGTGCGGGTCATCCCCCGGGGAGACTATAGACCGCAGACTCCCCTGGGTATCACATCTCTTGGGACCACGTCCCAGGCCCACCCACCACCCTCCCCACAACCTCTCCCATCCTTTCTAGGGTGGAGTCTGCTCTGTGCGTGCATGTGTGCATGCTCGGTTGCTCAGTCCTGTCCAACTCTTTGCCACCCACCAGGGTCCTCCGTCCATGGGATTCTCCAGGCAAGAATACTGGAGTGAGTTGCCATTTCCTTCTCCAGGGGAACCTCCCCGACCCAAGGATCCAATCCGTGTCTCATGTCTTCTGCACTGGCAGGCAAGTTCTTAACCACTAGCGCCACCTGGGAAGCCTGGTACTGGGGGCCAAATTCTGAGGGGTGGGGCAGGGAGGTGGGGCGCCCCAGACCCACTGCATTAAAGCAGCCACCTGCTCCATCAAGCCCTCCCAAATTCCAGCAGAGCTGACTACGCATTTCCCGCCAACAGGAGGCCCTGAGTACCAAGCCCACACAGTCACAGGCTGAGCCAAGGGAAGTCTGCTGACCATTTATCACCAGCCGGACAGTTAAATGCATAAAAAGAGGAAATAAGAGGCGAGAATTTTTCGGTTCTAGCTGGGAATGGAGAACACAAGGAACTGATAACTAACAGTTTCAGCCAAGAAGTGACTGAAAATCAATCTTGGCTGGCAGCAGGAGTCATGAATGATGGTTTGCAGTGTGGTGTTCTCTCTGGGCAGAGGATGCTGACCTGATGTGGGCCAGCCCCAGTGAGACAGGACAAAGCTCCCCAGGCATCCAGACCACTTTCAGGGAGGTCTAAGGGGGGACCTCCCTCTGCTGGGTTGCACAGCAGGGACCTCTGTCCTGAAAGCTCTGTGCAAGCCAGACAGACACTTGTGTGCCTGGAAATGGTTCCCAAGGGTGTACCTGAGACTCGGATAATGGAAGGTGCTGGGAATAAGCAGGAGAGAGGGGTCTCAGGGGAGGGGATAGGAAAGACAAAGAGGCTTTTATCTCTACATGTTTCTAGGATGAAGAAAGAAATCCCAGGACCTTCAAAGCCAAGTCCTGCCTCTACAGGGTGGACAGAGGCAGAGGTGAGGCCAATGCGGCGGCCAGCCCAGAGCTCTATTATGGTGCAGGGTGGCAGCTACAACACCCGATGACCTGTTGGTTGGGAAGAGAGTGTGAGTGCAGGTGTAGGGGCCTGTGGGAGCCCTCGGAGTCGGTGACATCACTTCAGATAAGCCATGCTATGCTTCTAGAGCCCAAGGATGGGGGAGAAGGACTAAAGGTCCTTGTGAGGCCAGGTCAGGCATGCAGAATCCACTGGAGTTAGAAAGCTGGTCCCCCTGTTACCCTGGGAATGCGAGAGCCTTAAGAGCATCCCCAGGAGGTCAGTGGCCCTGGACACCTGAGCACCCCCAGGCCGATTCGCTCACTGCCCACCAGGTGACCAGTCCTCCCCTGACGTCTCCAGTCAGTAGGTCCTGCTTCAAAACCCTCCTCTCTAACTTCTACCCACGGAACAAGCCAATGCCCACTCCTGCTCACATGGATCCCGCAACTTTCTCTTCTCCAGTGTAAATGGCCTCTTCTAAGTCGTCATTTCCTTCTCCCTCCTCCCTGGGGCTTCCCAAGTGGAGCTAGTGGTAAAGAACCCGCCTGCCAATGCAGGAGATGTAAGAGGCACGGGTTCGATCCCTGGGTCGGGAAGATCTCCTGGAGGAGGAAGTGGCTCTGTGGGAGCCCTCGGAGTCGGTGACATCACTTCAGATAAGCCATGCTATGCTTCTAGAGCCCAAGGATGGGGGAGAAGGACTAAAGGTCCTTGTAAGGCCAGGTCAGGCATGCAGAATCCACTGGAGTTAGAAAGCTGGTCCCCTGTTACCCTGGGAATGCGAGAGTCCTAAGAGCATCCCCAGGAGGTCAGTGGCCCTGGACACCTGAGCACCCCAAGGCCGATTCGCTCACTGCCCACCAGGTGGCCAGTCCTCCCCTGACGTCTCCAGTCAGTAGGTCCTGCTTCAAAACCCTCCTCTCTAACTTCTACCCATGGAACAAGCCAATGCCCACTCATGCTCACATGGATCCCGCAACTTTCTCTTCTCCAGTGTAAATGGCCTCTTCTAAGTCATGATTTCCTTCTCCCTCCTCCCTGGGGCTTCCCAGGTGGAGCTAGTGGTAAAGAACCTGCCTGCCAATGCAGGAGATGTAAGAGGCACAGGTTCGATCCCTGGGTCGGGAAGATCTCTTGGAGGAGGAAGTGGCAACCCACTCCAGTGTTCTTGCCAGAGAAAGTCCATGGACAGAGGAGCCTGGTGGGCTATAGTCCATGGGGCTGGAAAGAGTTGGACACAACCGGGGACCCACTTCTAGCAGCTGTGTGCTGTGTGTGTGTGCTCAGCTGCTTCCTGACCCAGGGATCGAGTGGGCATCTCCTACACTAGCAGGCGGACTTTTTCACCGCTGTGACACCTGGGAAGCTCCACTCTAGCAGCCTCTGACCTCAAGGACCACCCACCCCGCTGGTCCCTATGGCCTTTAGGCAGACAAGACCCTCCCCCACTGAGTCCCTCTCAGAATCTTTCTCCTTTCCTCCTGGGACCAGAGTCCGGGGGCTGGAGGCGAGGTGGAGTGGGGAGGGTCCTTCATTCTATGCCACCCTGTTAGCTTGGGCCATTGCCCCATCGGGGAAGCGTGTCTAGCTCCAGCACCTGTCAGCTCACAACATTGGTCATCCCTCCCATGCACAAGACTGGAGGTCCCTCCAACCCAACAACTCTCAGAGAACCGGAGCTTAACTGGGTTTTTGTTGAGGGCTTCAGCTCAGTCTCCAGGGCTGGGCTCATGGTGTCTACTCTCACCTGCTTCTCAACCTCCTCCTCCACTGGGGCCAGCCTGCCTGTCTCCAGGCTCATTCCAAGGTCCCTGTCCCTGTTTCTTGGGTGCCCTTGGCCACTAGCCCAGCCTGGTCTTTGTACACTGCTTCTGGCTCAGCTCAGAGGTCTCACCGCCTCTGCCCCCATCCCCACCACTAGACCAGAGCTTGTTAGACCCGGGGGCTGGACGTGATGGTCTGTGCACCCTCCGTGTGTGACCTGGCCCCTAAAACTCACCATTTTCCTCCTAACACTGTCTTCCCGCCTGACGACTCTCCCTCCCATCCACCCCCAGGCCTCCCCTTCAGTGTGAATTTGAGCGTGCTCAGTTTTGTCCGACTCTGTATGACCCCCACGGACTGCAGCCCGCAGCTCCTCTGTCCACGAGATGCTCCAGGCAAGTCCACTCTAGCAGCCTCTGACCTCAAGGACCACCCACCCCGCTGGTCCCTATGGCCTTTAGGCAGACAAGACCCTCCCCCACTGAGTCCCTCTCAGAATCTTTCTCCTTTCCTCCTGGGACCAGAGTCCGGGGGCTGGAGGCGAGGTGGAGTGGGGAGGGTCCTTCATTCTATGCCACCCTGTTAGCTTGGGCCATTGCCCCATCAGGGAAGCGTGTCTAGCTCCAGCACCTGTCAGCTCACAACATTGGTCATCCCTCCCATGCACAAGACTGGAGGTCCCTCCAACCCAACAACTCTCAGAGAACCGGAGCTTAACTGGGTTTTTGTTGAGGGCTTCAGCTCAGTCTCCAGGGCTGGGCTCATGGTGTCTACTCTCACCTGCTTCTCAACCTCCTCCTCCACTGGGGCCAGCCCGCCTGTCTCCAGGCTCATTCCAAGGTCCCTGTCCCTGTTTCTTGGGTGCCCTTGGCCACTAGCCCAGCCTGGTCTTTGTACACTGCTTCTGGCTCAGCTCAGAGGTCTCACCGCCTCTGCCCCCATCCCCACCATTAGACCAGAGCTTGTTAGGCCCGGGGGCTGGACGTGATGGTCTGTGCACCCTCCGTGTGTGACCTGGCCCCTAAAACTCATCATTTTCCTCCTAACACTGTCTTCCCGCCTGACGACTCTCCCTCCCATCCACCCCCAGGCCTCCCCTTCAGTGTGAATTTGAGCGTGCTCAGCTTTGTCCGACTCTGTATGACCCCCACGGACTGCAGCCCGCAGCTCCTCTGTCCACGAGATGCTCCAGGCAAGAATATTGAAGTGGGTTCAGACCAACCCACCAACCTCTCTAAGATGCATTCAAACTATGCCACTTCCTGGATCTAAAGACTTCCAGAACTTTCCAGGACTCACCTATCAATATCCCAGCCTCTGGGCCTGGACACAGAGGGGGACCTGGGAAGTAGGCTGTGTGACTCACCTGGGCTTGCTGTCTTCCTCCTCTGGCCTCCCCTCACTTCCTCACCACTCTCAGCGTGCACAAGAGCACACACGCATGTATGCACGCACACACACACACACACCACCCCGTCTATCGGGGATTCTGTCTCTATGGGGGTCTCAGATGTCCATCAACAAAATGTCAGCCGCCCGTGCTCTGACAGCGTTCTCTAGGTCCTCCAGACTTTTGCCTCTAAACAGGGGCCTCTGCAGGAGCAAAAGCCCTCCAGACTGAAAGTCTGATATACATTAAAGTGGGTGAGACAGAGGGGCAGCTGCTCTTTTGGAGTGCCCCCCGCCCTGCCATCTGTGCCTCAGAGACACAAGGCCCTCTGGGTTGGATCCCCCCTCCTCTTAGACTCAAAGTCTCCAGAGTCAGACCCATCACCTACCCCCCAGAGCCCTGATCCTTTTGCCAGAAAGCTTCCTTTCTCTGCAGCAGCAGCAGGGGCTCTGAGACCGCAGAGGGACCCCTGACTGGGCCTCAGGCCACCCCACCAAGCACAGCGCTCCACAGGCATCGGTGACTCTGAGGAGCCGGGCCGCTGCTGTCCCCACTAAGTCATGTTATAAACGGACGTCTCAGAGCAGAAGGCTGGTCAAAACAGAGTCTTAATTATCATCAAGTGTCACACGCCGCAACGTTAATAGCGATGAAAATAGCAATTAAGTGTGTGAAGAAGGGCGAGTGTTTTCCCAACAGACCCGGGAAGACAGTGCTGAGCACATTAGCAAGAGCTGATGGACGGCTCTCCTGGTGGAGGAAGCAAACACAGCCGACCTTGCCCTTCTCAGAGCGCGCAGGAAGGAAGGTGACTGGCCGGGGAGGGCCCGGAGCTCCAGTTCCTGCCATGCCCCCAGCCCAGGCTGCACTCAGGAGAGACCCTGGCCTGTTCCTAGCTGGGAGCGGGAGAGGAAGGAGGGGAGACAGAGCAGGCCAGTCCAGGACCAGCAGAGGGTGTGCACAAGGGCTGTGGCCACCCCTGCCAGGTAGAGGTGGAGAGTGACCTGGGAAGGAATTTCATCCCGTGTGGGTAAATGCCTCATGGCTCCATGCAGCTGCCATCTGCCATTTGGGCAAATTCAATGGCACCAGGCGATTTCCACTCATATTACAATATTTGCAGGAATGTTTTGCACCATGGGTGAATTATTTGGGGTGTATTTTGCTGGACCTGGGCTTCCCTGGTGGCTCAGATGGTAAAGAATCCGCCTGCAATGCAGGAGACCGAGGTCCAATCTCTGGGTCGGGAAGATCCAGAGAAGGAAATGCCTACCCACTCCAGTACTCTTGCCTGGAGAGTCCCATGGACAGAGGAGCCTGTCCTGTAGACCCCCATGGCTACACAGTTCATGGGGTCGCAAAAAGTCAGACATGACAGAGCAACTAAGCATATGATATTTTGCTGGACCTTGTTTGGAGCGCCAGAAGGAAGAAGCTTCATGGACAGAGGGGCTGGTGAGAAGAAATAAAAGGATGTTTACTCATCATCAGTCCTGCCTGGACTCGGAACCGGCCAAGCTAACAGGTAGCAAAACCCTCCAGCGCGAGGCCAAGGTTCTCAGGCAGAGTGTTATAACAGACAAGCATCCTTTATTTGATGGGACCTGTATGAGGTTCACCTAGTTTTATTTGTCCTCTGGGGTCCCTTCTAAATCCAAGACAACAAGGGTTGTGTTCCTCTTGAGGAACACAGTCCCCCAGCTCTCGCCTGGACAAAGCAGCGGTTTGCATTCACCCTGCAGGAAGCTTCCCTTCCCCCAGGGGCCTGGGCTCTTCCCTGGCCCATCCACCAGAGCTCCCGGAACTGCAGTGATGCTCGCTGGACCAGAGCTGGCAGAAGTGTTTCAGCACAATGAGGGCTGGGGGGGAGGGCCAAAGACAACCGACACGATGAACCTGCATACACAATGAACCCAGATTCTTTGATTAAAAAGTGAACTTGAACCCTGTGAAATGGATGGCTTTCTGGACTTTAAGAAAGCAGTCAAGTACCAGGAGTTTTCCCCGGGTCAGGAGGACAGATCAGCATATGTAAATACAGATACTTAGACAAAGGGCTGGAAAGTTAACCCATTGTATGGACAGTGGTTACCTCCTGCGGGAGTGTGGGGCTGGAAGGGTGGTGAGGTCAAGGGGGGCTTTTATCTGTACCCTGGCAAAAGGGGATTCCCAGGTGGCATTAGTGGTAAAGAATCTGCCTGCCAATGTAGGAACCACAAGAGATGCCGGTTCGATCCCTAGGTCAGGAAGATCCCCTGGAGGAGGAAATGGCAACCCACTCCAGTGTCCTTGCCTGGAGAATCCCGTGGACCGGGGAGCCTGGCAGACTACAGTCTACGGGGTCACAGAGTCGGACAGGAGTGGGTGCGCAAGCACACAGCAAAGTTGGCGTGTTTGGAAATTTAGTCATAGGAATGCTATTCCTGGGAGGAATAGTGAGGAGGGGAGAACCTGCTGAGCAGTTCTCCATCTGCACCGAACACAGAAAGCCGTGGAGGACAAGACGTGAAGCCGTGTACAAACCAGGGAGCCCGGGACGCGGTGAGCCCCGCCCGGCCCATCACAGGTACGCTTGGAAGCGGGGGAGTGTGACGCTGACTGCATAGCCGATAGAGGTTAGGGATTTCTTCCCTAAAGCCGCCGTCCTTCCCCCGTCAGGTGAGGGGCTTCCCCTCACCTGAGCCTCCAGGACTTCTCTCTTTGATGCTCCCCAGGCCCCCAACACACCCCCCGCCCCCGCTCACATCACCAGGAGACACGCACTGACCACCCCCAGCTGTGCCACCGTGGAGTCCCCTGGCCCTCTTTCGACAGCTCTGCTCAGGGCCAGTGGCTGCTCTCACTGGTCACCCTGGGCTGCCGGAGGCTCCGGCCGGCCGAGATGGCCTTGCCTGAAGCCTGGGGCCCTGCAGGAGCCTGCGTGGCCTTGACCCCAGGCCCGAGCATCCAGGTGGCACAGTCGGCTTCCCTCAGGCCCAGGCCCACGCAGGACCTGTCTGCAGACCTTTATTAAACAGGCGTTGGTCACCACTTGCTTTGGATCCACGATGTCCACCAGGGGCTCCTTCATGGCAACGTCCCGAATACAAGTCATGTCAAAGCCATAGACGTTCTCCCACCCTGTGGGGAGAGAGCGAGATGTGAGGGCCAGCAGCGGGACCCCCAGAAGTCCCTGGGCCCCCTGAGTCCTAGAGGGTGGGCGGCAGCTCGTGTTCCCTGGTCTGACGACAGGAGAGGTGCTCGCCTGGTGGAGAGTTTCACAAGGTGCCAAACGCTGGTTCCCACCATCTAATGTGCACAGGTCCCGATTTAGGGTTTGGAAAAGTAAAGGTCAGAGAGGGTGAGAAACTTCTCCGAAGTCACAGCTAGACTCGCGTCGGGCCAGGACTAGAACCCAGATTCCTGACTCTTTCGTATCTGCTGTCTTCCCTTCTTTCTGAGCCTCAGCATCTCCTATGAACTCTCTCCTCCACCGTCCCCACTTCTACCCCGCTGCCTCGGCTCCATCCCACCCCGTGCCTGGAAGGCCATCTCTCTCCTTCCTCCCATCCCCACCTGCTGAAGCTCTCATGAAGCAGAAAGGAACACAGGCTTTCCTGGTTCATGAAACAGGCTGCCGTCAGAATCCCAGTGCCGCCTCTTACTAGCCAGGCCCTCATGCAAATCTCCTAGCCCCTCTGATCCTTCATTTCCTCAACTGCAAAATGTGAGGTGGGGAGCAGGGGTGTCCAAGAGAGGCCTTGCTTTTCTCATACACCACAATGTCCTCACTAAGGACCCATCTTGTGAGACATATCCCCCAGGTGGGCGCAGAGCAGCCCAGCAGTGCCCTTTGCCCCCGGGGGCTGTTCATAACATGCTTTAATCAGGGAACAGATTCAGGGTGCAGAGTTGGAAGTCAATGAGTGCAAGTCTGATGGTCCAAGTGTTGGTCTCTCAGTCATATTAGACTCTTTGCAACCCCATAGACTGTAGCCCACCAGGCTCCTCTGTCCATGGGATTCCCCAGGCAAGAATACTGGAGTGGGTAGCCATGCCCTTCTCCAGGGGATCTTCCCAACCCAGGGACTGAACCCAGGTCTTATGCATTGCAGGCAGATTCTCCACCATCTGAGCCACCAGGAAGTCCATGATGGTGCCAGATCTCCGGTAAATGATGGTCATCACTGCTACCACTGATTGATCACCCAGCCCTGGCCATATCCATCACTGACTTTCTCCAGCAACCCCATGAGAATGCCTTGATACAGCAGATGAGAAGATGGGGCTGGCAGAAGCTGGTGCTCGGCTTACATGCATGTGGGATACTGGGCTGGTATCCCACAGCAGGAAAACCGTGGTGCTGGGGCACAAACCCTGTGTCCTAACCCTTCAGCTGCACCGATACAGCCGTGACAGCAAGCAGGAATGCCATTTGCTCTCCCCACAGTGCAGAGAGTGCATTCCCCAACCATTTTGGCACCAGGGACCAGTTTAGTAGCTCAGCTGGTAAAGAATCCACCTGCAACGCGGGAGATCTGGGTTCGATTCCTGGGTTGGGAAGATCCCTTGGATAAGGGAACAGCTACCCACTCCAGTATTCTGGCCTGGAGAATACCACGGACTGTATAGTCTGTGAGGTTGCAAAGAATCAGACATGACTGAGTGACTTTCACTTTCACCGGTTTCATGTAAGACAATCTTTCCTTGGACAAGGTTGGGGGAGGTGGTTTCAGGATGACTCAAGTGCATTACATGTATTGGGTGCTTCATTTCTGCTATTATTACATGAGCCCCACCTCAGATCATCAGCATTAGACCCTGGAGGTTGAGGACCCTTGCTTTAGGGGAGTCTTTAGTTACTGTGTGGCTGAATCTTACTTGTCCGTTTACTCAGAGGAGTTTAGAAATACATTGAAATAGACTTGCTTTTCTCTGAAATCTTACAGGATTAAATTATTTTTAAATGTTCACCAAACAAATGGAACCATAGGGAACTTACATCCCTCTGTGTGTTTAGGAGATGGGGGTGAAATGAGGGAGGTGCGAACAGTCAGGGAATGCTGGGTTCCTTTTCCTCAGGATCTTGTCAAGGGCACACAAAGACTTTCCTTGAAGAGAAGAGGCTGGGAAAATAATCATCTCTCAGAGGGCAAGCACTCATGCAATTCTGGCTTGAGTATTAGATACCAGTCAGATCCCATTATATACCCGAGGCTAGAGCCAAACTTCCAACTGAACCTACCTACGTTTGGGGCTTCCCTGGTGTCTCAGACAGTAAAGAATGTGCCTGCAATGTGAGAGATCTGGGTTCGATTCTGAGTCCAGGAAGATCCCCGGAGAAGGGAATGGCAAACCACTCTGGTATTCTTGCCTGGAGAATCCCATGGACAGAGGACCCTGGTGGGCTAGAGTCAATGGGTCGCAGAGTCAGACACACTTGAGCGACTAACACTCAACATTTGGGGAAGTGTGGTGACAGCTCCAGAGATCCCCTGCTAGAATCTGGAAAGAGCTGTCCATGCTTACCCAGGTAAAACATGCACACCCACACACACTGTCTTTTTTTAAAACCCTTTCTCAAGACACCTACTGCTACATATCTGCTCTTGCCCTCTGCCCTGCTTTAAGTTCAAAAGTGAAAGTGTATCTGAGAGTCCATGTTAAATGGTTAAAATCCTGGGTTTGGGCTTCAAATCTTGGCTCTGTTTATTTGCTGTGAGACTTTAGGCAAGAATTTAACCACTCAAAGAGCTGGTTTCTTCTTTAAAACAGAGATGATGAACTTATAGTCACCAGGGAACGCAGGGGGAAGGATTGGGAGAAGGGATAAGTTAAGGGATTTGGGGATGGACATATATGCATTCCTATATTTAAAATGGATCACCAGTACAGCACAGGGAACATTGTTCAATGATACGCAGCAGCCTGGATAGGACGGGGGTTTGGGGGGAAATGGATACAGGTGTATGTATGGCTGAGTGCCTCTACCATGCACCTGGGACTATCACAACATTGTTATACTCCAATAGAAAATAACAAGTTTTTAAAAATGGAGATGATGCTGATGATGACAGTTGCTCTATAAGGTTGTTATGAGGATTAAATATGATGATACATGTAAAGTACATAACAGGGTCTGGCACATAGAAAGCCCTTGAGATGTGATAGTTACTGTGGTTATGTGGTTGAGCTCTGGTTTTGCCATCATCCAAGCTTGTGACCCTGGCAGCTTGGCCCCCTTCTTTCCAAATTGTTTGTAAAGTGAGGAGTTTAATCCAGTGGTTCTGTGTTCCAGAATCATCTGGGACACTTCTTAAAATACAGATTCCTGGACCACAGCCAGACCTACTGAATAAGAATTTCCAGATTTGGGCCCCAGGGAGATGGGATTTCCAGGTCAACATAGGCAATTCCAACCAGTTGGAAATCCTTGGGCTCTGTGATCGTTGAAGTTCCTTCCAGTTCAATTTTCAAATGGACTTAAAGTCTCACATGGCCATTGTGACACCTCCAAGCACCTCGCTCCCATGGGACCCCTCTCCTTCTGTATCCTCAGCATCTGCAGCAGAACATCTGGCATAACACAGGTCCACCAATATTTGTTTATTTTTAATGAAGTTTATTCCAAACATTTAATGCCTGCACTGCTTCACAAAACCTGGTATTTTAGATACCTTCTTAGGGGTTAATTCATGTCTGATCTTCCCGGCCAGACAGCCCCACTTCCAGTTATTCAGTGACAGATTATCTAGGACATTAGGGTTTTTTCCTCTCCAGTCCACTGACCATGCATTTCCCACTAGCTTCTCTACCATATGTGAAGCAGGGATGGGAGAGGATACACATCAAGCATATTAATCTTTTGTTGCAATTCTGTCTTATTTATTAAATGAGTGAATGTGGGATGAGGGTCATCAACCACCAGGAAAGTGTTAACTAACTTTCTAGGGATTAAAAAATAACAACAGAAAGACCTGTGAAATTTAGTTGATGGATTGAAACAACCCTTGAAGAGGACCACACTATGGTGCGCTGAATATAACTAAAACAACAACAAAGTCCAGACCTACCAGCTCGTCCAGACTAGGTGGACTAAAATTCCCACTTGAATGCACTGGTAGAGGAAGAGGCATGCTCTTCTCTGGGCATAAATTATTCACCTGTCTTTACTGTCCAGCACTACTCACAATGTCCAGCATTAATAAGAAATTACAAGATGCATGGAAAAGAAAGAAAAATATGATATATTACCATAAGGAAAAACAGTCGATAGAACCAGACTCAGAGTTCAGGTACTGGGAATATCTAACAGGGATGTTCAAGTACTTTAAGAAATATTTTATAGAATCGAATGGGGAAAAAACATGCATGAAGAGATGAAGAATTTCATCAGTGAGACGGAAATGCTGGAAATGAAAAAAATCACAATATCAAAGATGGAGAATTCTTCCAATGAGCTTATGGGCCAGCATGGATTTATATTAGAGGAAATAATAACCTGAAAACAAAGACAGGAAAACAAGCTTCACTTTTCAGTGGAGAGATCTGTAGCTACATTCCCCCTCCCTGACCTGGCCCCAGTAATTTGAGTTTCTCTGCTGGAACTAGTGGGGCTGCCTCAGGGAAAAACAGAGCAGGCAGCACCAGGAGTCACTTACAACTTCTCCTCTAGACAGAAAGGAAGGTGTGTATAACAGTTTAATACATTTTAGGCTCTCAGATCAAAGTCAACTCCTTGTGTAAATAGGCTAGAACCAGGAAGTGGAACTCTGGATGTCGGGGTGGTGGAGAAACCCATGGAAAAGACCCAAACCCTCAAAGAGGTCCTGCCCTCCAATCTTCCAGCTACAGGCACCACCATCTCTATACAAGAGGTCCCTCATCATCGTCTCACTATCCAGGAATTCGGTGCCCATCCTCTGACCCTCAGCAGGTTCTAGAGTCAACTACTGGGTAAGAAAATCACATGCACTATCTACCCAGTTTCCTTCCAATTTTGAGATTCTAGAAATCCTCAGAGTAAAATTAATGATTGCACCTCTGTCTGGGAATCTTCACTGGATCACTGGTAAAGAATCTACCTTCAGTGCAGGAAACACTGGTTCAGTTCCTGGGTTGGGAAGATCCCCTGGAGGAGGAAATGGCAACCCACTCCAGCATTCTTGCCGGGAAATTCCAAGGACAGAGGAGCCTGGTGGGCTACAGTCCATGGGGTCACAGAGTCGGACATGACTTAGGGACTAAATCACTGTCAACCACATATTGGTACTTGCCATGGGTGCTTGCCATCTGCAAGGATTAAATCATGTGCTGCTTCAGCGCCTGCCCTCCAACACTCCCTGAAGAAGTCCAGGGTGGAGAGCAGAAACGAGGCCCTCTGTGCTCTAGAAAGCTGGCAGGACAGGTCTTCAGAGAGATGTTCTCAGGAGCTGATTTTATGAGCCCAATTCTAGTACCTCCTCATATCTAGAAAAACACTAAAATCCTTCATGGTGACGACTGTTTCTCGTGACTAGCAGAAGCTTCACAAGACCAGCAGAAACTTTCTAAAACAATAAACGTGCTTGACTGTATCTATTCCCCTTTACCAAAATCACATATATACTGTTCTTCCCCCGACGTCTTTGGAGCGGTTTCTCAGAGCCGTCTGAGGTGCTCTCTCCCAGACTGCGGTCCTTATATTGCCCTAAATGGAACTTAACTCCCAGCTCTCACATTATGCCTTTTCTTTAGGTCGACACCACCACCACCACCTCTCTCAGCAACATCACTTTGTACACTCCCCTGCTGGTTTACTTCTCTTCCTTCATTCCTTTTCTCGTTCATTCACTCGTCAAGCCGTGCGTTGTGAGCCTGGTACACGCCAGTGATGTCTCTGCGTGTGTGTTCTCTAGCCGTTGGTGAGGAAACTGAGAGCAATTTCTGAGTTTCATCCTGCTTGTGTTTCCATGTTGCGTGTGGTTGAGAAAAGAGGGGAGGAGAAGGGCTGAGAGGGGAGGGGCGGGGACAAACTTTTCCTAACAGTTTTCTTTCTGAAAGGGATTGGGCACAACTCCTTCTCCTGCCCTATTTAAGATTTTTCTTTTGTAGCCGGTTCTTGAGTCATCAGAAATTTGCTTACAATGGTTTCCTTAGCAACCAGCAACCTTTCTGCCTTCACTTTGGATTTAGGACTCTGAGTAACCAAAATCTCTGTTTATTTAAAACAGATTTCTAAATGGGCTTGCTTCCTTTCCTAAAAACAGAAACAGGTCATTTTTTAAAAGAAATGTTTAAATAGAAAACTTTGAGACTATGTTAAATAAAATGTAAAGGTGCATTTGATTTTGAGTTTGCGGGGAATGCTATTGACAGACTCTAGAGATTCCACAAGAAAAAAATGGGGCTTTCAGTCTTTCTTTTTTGTTCTTTTTCAGAAAGTATGAAAATTGCAAAAAGCAGGAGGAGACTCAATCCCATGGTCTCCTGTCCTGGGCTGGCACCTGAGTAGCGGCCAGTGCCCCAGGGCCTGTCAGGGCTGATCCAGTCCTCAAGACAAGGTGCGTGAGGTCGAGGTCCCGAACAGGATCCAGGCAAGGAGGAGGGTGAGGTCTGTTTTACTTTATACCATGAGGAAGTTCCTTAAAGAGCCGAGCCAGGTCCGAGTTCAATCAATTTAGAGGGCGTGAGAACAAAGAATGTGCCTGTAGGTTCTCCAAACACAATTTAAACAATTATAGCAAGAACTCCAAAGGCAGCATAACCACACAGCTCCAGGGCAAAATATGTCCCATTTATTCATGCATTTGAGCAACATTTGCTGTTGAGCTGTTTTTGAAACCTATCACGAGATTGCATCTGGCCTAGATTCTGAGCCCCTGGGGGCCAGCGTGCTCGGCAGTCAGGCTCGGGGCCAGGGCCACAGGCAGGAAGGGGCTTAACGACACAGCTGGGGACCAGATCCAGGTTGCCACGTGCGGCATCAACAACTGTCACACCCCTTAAATACATTGTCTCACTTCATCCTCACGCCGAGTCTACAGGTTGGGGGAGTTTTATCTCAGACCGAGGCTCAGAGATGTTAGGTGAGTCGTTCACGGTCACCCAGAGGATGCAAAGTCAGAGCTGGCCACCTTCAAAGCACCATCATCTAACCTCCTACCTCTCCTTGCTCACTGAACATTAGAAATGACGCCAGATGGGCCGGAGGGCTCAGACAAATGTCCCAGTTCTGTCTTGTCCTGACCTGGCTCTGAACATGCTCTGAGTTTATATTTCCAGCAGCACAAAGATTAGACTTTGTTGGACTCTGGAGTCCTAACCTCTGGAGGCCGGAAGCCAGTCTGCTCGATCTGGGAACCTCTCCGTCATAGGGAGAAGAGGGGTGTTTAGCACTGTGCTGGCAAGAACCCAGATCTGCGAAGCCTGTTGGACCGTTTGGAGTTTCTGCTTATGCTTGGGGTTGGATCGTGGTGTGTGCTCACTTGTATGTGTGTGGGGGGTGGGGGGGAGGGCTGGATCGTGTGCATACTCACTTGTAAGTGTATGTGGAGGTGGGGAGGTGGTCTTTGCCCTTTGTCGTTTGGAGTTTCTGCTCATGCTTGGGGTTGGATCATGGTGTGTGCTCACTTGTATGTGTGGGGGGGTGGGGGGGAGGGCTGGATCGTGTGCATACTCACTTGTAAGTGTATGTGGAGGTGGGGAGGTGGTCTTTGCCCTTTGTCTCTTCAGTTAGTTCTGGCTAAGGACACAAGTCTGTCTCTAAATCTTGTGTGTGTGTTCAACTGCTAAGTCGTGTCTGACTCTTTGCGACTTCTTGGACTGCAGCACTCCAGGCTTCTCTGTCCTTCTAAATCTTATGGAAGCATAATCTGTTTAATCACATGGAGGACCAGGCTTGTATCCCTTGAGAACGGTCACTCTTTAAATGAAATAGAATCAAACAACTCTTTGGGGACCAGATAAAATGTTGGAGGGTTGTGCGGGGGTGGGGGACGTTTTTTCTAAGAGGGCACCTTTTCAACTGATTAAGCACAAAGAGACCAGATTCGGATGAGCACCCCCGCCACCCACCGCCACTCTCCCATCCACATGCTCAGCCTCCATCTCCCTCTGTATCTTACTTATATGAAGGAGAACCAATATTATGCTGACAAATTTCAGGGATACAAAGGCAGAGTTCAAACGACTGGTCTGGCTGGAGACCCTCCCTGTCCTTATGTGGATGTTAGGGAGAAATGACCTTTAGTAGCTTTCAACCACCTGCCGGCTCTGCAAAAAAACCTCAGCTTCTGCCGCTTCATTCATTTTCCATCCACACTGCATTCATCCTCTCCCTGCTTTATTTCCCACCAGCCACAGTCTTATTTCCTCTCTGCAGAAGCCCCACCCTTGGGACCAGCAGAAAACAGCCAGAGAGAAGAGTCCGGAAAAGGTCACAGATGTAAACTCCTCAGAGGCACAGCAGCTGTGTCTGCGAGACTGACCACTCATGCCCAGCCCTCTGAAGTGCTTCCCTCCCCCAAAAGCCCCCCTCAAAGCCCAGCAGAGGATGAAAAGGTGACTTACAGTGGATTTTGAAGTCCTTGTACTGTCTGTCCTCAATTGCTACCACGTACAAAGCCGCCCGGTCTGGAAACATAAGCCCTCCAGGTTTCTGTTGATGAATTGTGGGGAAATGGGTCTTGTAATCTATTCACCTGACAAAGACATACATTTTTGAACTGCACATAGAGTCACCAGACAAGCATCCCCTCGCCAGCATTCCTCATGCAGCAGACTGTCACCTCGGCCGGGGAGAGGGCTGGGCGGGGAAGCTCAGTGTCGATTTTGGTACCAGTAAAAACCCAAGGGGCGAGGTGGGGTCCATAGGACAAATGTGGAGGGGCAGAGACGTGTTCAGTGAGGGCGGTGGAAGAAGTTTTGACTTCTCAGTCTGGAGAAGCTAAGGATCAAAAGCACACTGGCTTACTGGCAGCCGTGCAAACCCTTAGTACTTGTTGACCAGCATAGACTTTGGACAACAGACAATGGATGTCTATTATGTAAAAGAGGCCAAGGTTAGACCTATGAACATTCATTCTGTCCCCCAAAAGCAGATCTAGTTTAAAGAGAGGGGTCTGGGAGCAGTGACCCTGTAGCCCAGGTCCTCTCTGAAGTCCTCATAGTCTCCCTTGGCTACAGGCGGGGTCTGAGCAGCCAGGCAGCCGGCAGGGCAACCAGGCGACAGCATGCAGTAGGCTCACCAGCCACTTGTCCCTGGCGAAGATGACGGTGGTGAGCATCGACTCGTAGAACAGGCAGTAGCCCATCCACTCGCTGATGATGATGTCCACCTTGTCCACAGGCAGCTCCACCTCCTCCACCTTCCCCTTGAATATGGTGATGACTGCAAAATAAGAACCCCACGGCCGCACATTGCAGGGACCCAGGCCGGGAATCATGAGCACCCTGCATCAGGATGTGATCAATCTATAGGGGTCAGCACAGTTCTGATTCCCTTTGCCTTCACCATGCCAGTTTATACTAAGGACTGAAGACTCCTTGTGTGATTCCTCCTAAAGTGTATTGGGCAGTTAAGATCAAACCAGTCCGTCCTGAAGGAAATCAATCCTGAAAATTCATTGGAAGGATTGATGTTTAAGCTGAAGCCCCAATACTTTGGCCACCTGATATGAAGAGCCAACTCATTGGAACAGACCTCAATGCTGGGAAAGATTGAGGGCAGGAGGAGAAGGGGGCAACAGAGGATCAGATGGTTGGATATTATCACTGACTCAATGGACATGGGCTTCATCAGGCTCCTGGAGATGGTGAAGGACAGGGAAGCATGGCATGCTGCAGTCCATGGAGTTGCAAAGACATGACTGAGCAACTGAACAATAGCTAAGGGCCTGTGCTGGGCTAAGCCCAGGATGGGCACTAGGTGCCAACAAGTCCTTGAAGCAGACACAGCATTCTTATTCTCATTTTTAAGGAAAGTGAGGCTTAGAGGGGTTCAATGATCGCCATGGAAACAGAGCCCAGGTCTGATAATCAACGACCTTTACCCTTACCAGGGCCCCCGCCCCACATCAGGTTGCCGTGACAACTCAAGCCCACAGGAGGCTGAGAAGCTGATGCCGCAGTGTCTGTTCACAGCCTGGCCTCAGCCCCAGGGATGCCTGGCTAGTGTTGGAGGGGAGGGAACTTGGTGTTTTGACAAGAGCATGGGTTTTGCACTCAAGGAAACTGGCTTTAAGTGCTGGGTCTTCTCATGATTAGCTATATGACTTTCCGCAAGTTACTTGACTGAACTCCAGTTATCCAGATAACAACCAGGAGAAGTGACATCTTGGCTAGAGGCTGTACTGATGAAATGACACAGGTGAAGAGCAACCTCACAATCGGGGCTCTAGCAAAGGCAAACACTGACACCATCTTCTTGGTGACCAGGTGACTGAGATGTTAAGGTGGATGGGATTTAGGCAAACCCTTGCTCTAAACATCCTCTGCCCCTGAGTCCCTTCCCAGACTCGTCCATCCCCCTACGGAAGGAGAAACTCCTCAGTTGAGCTTTTGATCATTCAACACAGGCATATACCTCACTAGGGGGCTCATTTTGCATTCATTGCTGTAAAGAGCCCAGCAAAAGCTATCCTAGGTGCTGCTGTGCAATTGACAGGGTGATGGATTAGTTGGCTGGTTCCATCAGAACCTTTCCTCTGGAAGGAAACTCATCCTTCACCGTCCTCTGAAAGACCACCCGACGTCTGAGCTTTTCTGGGGAAACTAAGCAATGACCTGTGTGTGTTCAGTCATGTTCAGGCTCTGTGACCCCCTGGACTGTAGCCCGCCAGGCTCCTATGTCCCTGGGATTCTCCGGGCAAGAATACTGGAGCGGGCTGCTATTTCCTTCTCCAGGGGATCTTCTTGGCTCAGGGATCAAACCTGCGTCTTCTGCATTGGCAGGCAGATTCTTTACCACTCTGCCATCAGGGATTCTCCCAGGATGTCAAAAGAGGGTGCCAAAATCTAGGCCTGAGCCTGGAGGGGAGGGGAGTTTGGGGGAGAACGTATATGTACAGCTGGGTCACTCTGCTGTGCACTTGAAACCATCACAACATTGTCAATCTGATTCCCTGGTGGCTCAGTTGGTAAAAAAATGTGCCTGAAATGCGGGAGACCCACATTCGATGCCTGGGTTGGGACAATCTCCTGGAGAAGGAAACGGCAACCCATTCCAGTATTCTTGCTTGGAGAATCCCATGGACAGAGGAGCCTGGTGGGCTACAGTCCATAGGGTTGCCGAGTCAGACACGACTGAGTGATGAACCCTTTCATTTTCAATATGAAATAAGGCTTCCTAGATGGCAGAGTGGTAAAGAATCTGCCTGCCAATGCAGAAGATGCAGATTTGATCCCTGAGCTGGGAAGATCCCCTGGAGAAGGAAATGGCAACCCACTCCAGTGTTCTTGCCTGGAGAATCCCATGGACAGAGGAGCCTGGTGGGCTACAGTCCATGGGGTCGCAAAGTCAGACACGACTGAGCACACACACACTAATATAAAATAAAAAGTTGAAGAAAAATCCAGGCCTGCTGTGCAACCTGGTACAAGCCACTTGATATCCCGGTCTTGCATCTGTAAATGGACAGGGTCACAACCTGATCACCTGCTCCTGTCTGTGGTATAGACACTCCCACCCTCTCCCTGTTCTGGCTCAGCCGTGATGTCACAGGCAGCAGGGCTGGGAGCGAAGCCCTCACCCGTGGTACGAGCAGAGTCCGACATGCCTGGGCGGCCACCCCATCCAAAGTGGACCCCAGCTTTCTCAACTGCTCCATCCTATCCTCCAGAGCACCGTCACCATTTGTGATTCTATTGGGATGCTGTGTGTCCACCTGCTTTAGTGTCTGTGCCCTCCCTGAGACTGTAAGCATCATGAGAGCACAGACCTCATCTGTGCTCTTCTCCTCAGCTCCCCTGCATCTGGCCCGGGGCCTGGAGTGTGGTGACATCCCTCCCCCAGGGGTGGGTGCATGAACCCAGTCCTGGGATTATTCATGGGCTGCCTTTGAGGGAAGCAGCCATTGCCAAGAACCACTACAGGTTCATTAACAGCCATTATATCTGATTAACCTCATCCCTTCTTTGGACCAGCCTATTAGTCAAGTTAATGAAAGAAATAATCATAACAGTAGCTAACATGTATTGGCTGCTAACGGCACATGTACACTGTTGTGGTTTATACAGGGCTGTGCTGGGAGACACTTAACAAGGGGGTTCTCCAGGAAGGATGCCCTGACTTGCAACATCTGCCTGTTTCTCAGTGTAAATACTCCCACTGAGGCCAATTTCAAGCCACCAAAAGGCCTGCATCCATTTCTGCAAATTCACTGAAAATTTACTAGGGGACCCAGCACACTGTGGTTTTACATATGGTAGCCACGTGAAACCCTCTGTGGTCTGTACCACTGTCATTCCCATTTCCCAGAGCAGGAAACAGGCGCAGAAGGTCAGGTGCCTAAGATCACAAGCTGATCTTTTGGAATTGAGTGTGAACCTGCCAGAGTCGACCACCATGCCGGGCCCCACGTGTGGATCTGGGAAGGCACCTTCTCCGTGGCTTCTCTGGAGGGGAAGCTGACCAAATATTGTGCAAATTCACAGCTGCTCCCCAACTGTATTCAAAGGGGCTGGTTCAGAGCTGAATTGGACTAGACCAGCCCACCGGGGCTGCCCCACTGCCCCCACCCCAGCTCCTGTCCATATGTAGATGACGCCTCACAGAGAACAGTGATCCCCAAAGAGCAAGGCTCTGGGGACTCCTGCATGCATGCTCAGTCCTGTTGGACTCTTTGCAACCACATGGACTATAGCCCATCAGGCTCCTCTGTCCATGGGATTTTCCAGGCAAGAATACTGGAGTGGGTTTCCATTTCCTCCTCCAGGGGATCTTCCCTACCCAGGGATTGAACCCACATCTCTTGCGTTTCCTGCATTAGCAAGCAGGTTCTTTACCACTGAGCCACCAGGGAAGCCCCTGTCTCTGCCTGGGGACTCCGAGTAGATTATAGTGAAAGTGCCAAAGTGAAAGTCGCTCAGTCGTGTCTGACTCTTTGCGACCCCATGGCCTATACAGTTCATGGAATTCTCCAGGCCAGAATACAGGAGTGGGTAGCCTTTCCCTTCTCCAGAGGATCTTCCCAACCCAGGGATGGAACCCAGGTCTCCTGCATTGCAGGCAGATTCTTTACCAGCTGAGCCACAAGGGAAGCCTAGTAGAATGTAAGGAAGAACCAAATCTAACACCAAGTAGATAAGGTGTGATTCTCAGTTTGGATTCAAAGTATCCACAGACTGGAGAGAGGTGAGGAGTTGCTTCTGGGCAGCCACACGTGGGTAGATTACAGATCATGGCTGATGCCAGCTGAGCGCCAAGTGTGGCTGGAGGTCCCCACAGCTGCTAAGGGAGCCAGAGCATCCTCTGCCAGGGTGAGAGGGATGCTGGCACGTGGCCAGAGGAGAAGGGGGCTGAAACCAAAGCCCCCTTTGGGGTGAAGGAACTGGGGGTGTGTCCCTGCATCTGCGGGAGTAGGGCTGCCAGGTGAAGGGGAGCCCCCTTACTTTGTGTGGTCCTAAAGTGATGACCCAGAGCATTATGGTCAGGGTGCAGGGAGGCAGGCTCCAGCAGAAGAAGTTCTTCAAACCATCACAGCCCCAGGTGGCTGCTGGTGGGACCCTCATCAGGGGAATTGTCCCAGGACTGGATGGCCGCAAGCATGGAGGGATGCTATAGGGCAGAGAATTTGAGCATCATCTACAAAACGCTTGGGATGTGTGACTAGGAAGGAGCAAAGTGCAGAACATAAAGCTGGAAAGATCTACAGTTAATGCTTGCTGTACAGGCTGCTCGCGTGTATTCTCTCTAATCCCCCTTTAATCCTGTGAGTTGAGTGGGGTGGCGTCTCCTGCACCAGGAGCCGGGGCTCAGAAGGGGAACCACCTGATGAAACCCTTCCTGCTGCCCTCTGTGCCTCACACTCTGCTCAGGCTTCTGCGTCCGTGACCCTCATGCTCCAGGGCAGAAGAAGAGAAAGGAGGAACCGACTATTCCCTTTAGTGTTTTGAAAAGTCAATGGATTAGCACTAGTCTTCTAGAACTATGGGTCTCCTGGGCGGGCAAAGAGAGGAAGTGGTGGCTGTCAGCCCTGATGTCCAAGAAGACACCCTGATCTGAGCACGTGTGTGGGCCACGCGGGTGGCAGGAGCCACGTGAAGGCCGCACGCACGCCTGCAGGTGGCCGTGTGGAGGTGCGCATCTGCCTGGGAACAAACCCATCCGGGGAGCTGTACGGAGGTGGAGAGGGAGGGAGATTGATTGATTCTGGGTAGCAGGTATTTTATGTCCTGGGTTGTTATTTATGTCTCTACACCTACGCTCCCGAGACCCACACAATTGGCTGTTGCCACGTTTCAGAAGCATTTCCATGGAAGCCAAGCTGTCCTCTTTCTAGTATACATGCCAAGACAGAGCACGCTTTGCCTTGAAAAGACCCCCCAGGCCTGTGCGAAGAGGAGGACAAGCATGGGTCAAGGGCGTGGCCATCCACCTGGGGATAATGGTTTGTCCCTCCCAGGCCTTTGCCTCCGTAGCACAGAATCAAGTGTGAGCCATCGAAATACAGAGCAGGGAATGCTTCCCTCCTGGAGCCACAAGGTGGGCTGAGCAGATGCCACCAGCGAAGGACAGGCCAGATGGGGTCTGAGGCCACGTGATGAGCAGGGGCTCACGCTTGGAGGGGCGTGGTCAGCAGGGGCGGCCTGGCTCCACCCACCCGAGCCTGAGCCCAGAGATCAGGCACCCATGCAGGGGCCTGCCCAGACAGGGGTGGGAGCCCAGCACTGCATGGCAGGTGGGAGAGCAGGAGGTGGTGGCCACACACAGGAAACTGACCCAGTGTGTGCATGCAAGCTAAGTCGCTTCAGTCGTGTCCGACTCTTTGCGACTTCATGGACTGTAGCCCACCAGGCTCCTCTGTCCACGGAGGTTCTCCAGATAAGAATACTGAGTGATGGGAGATACAGTAGTTATTCTGGTCAGGGACCCTTGTGAGGGTGAGCATGTTCAAGACGAGTCCCAGAGGGAGGGGCCGAGGAGATCACAAATGCCTAGGAAAGGAGTGAGGAGAGGAAGGGAAGGAAACACAGCTCCTCTTGTGCTCAGACTCTAGCTGTAAGAAGGTCCCGCTCCCAGGGGCAAGCTACTTGCCAAGACAGTCCATCAGCAGCAGGGCCTGTGGGCATGAGAAGACGACGTTTCTCCAAATACAGAGTCTGGGGTCTGCTGGGATGTTGCTCAGTGGACATAGGGCTGGAGGCATTGAGAGGGAACGGGAGGAGAAGGAACAGCTGGGGCCAAGCAGAGGGCTTGGAAATGAAGGTTTTAGCCTCAGGCTGGGCTCACCGCAGGCTGAGCTGGGACAGATGTGCCCTTGGCAGGCCAGGCAGGGACTGGGAAACTCTGAGCCCTGTGGGCAGAGTCCTGCTAACAAGGGCAGCGGCTGGCCTCCACCTTTTCAAGGCCAAGTGGTCTTATATCAGTCTCTGCCACCCAAACAAGGAAGTACAAACCCCTCGCCCCCTCCCTCCATGGAAAAGCAGGAGGAGGTACTGCTTACTGTTGTCCAAGTGGTTGGCCTTAATGATCTTCTCTGAGTAGTCAGAAATACTGGAGCATTCAATCTGGAGAGGATACAGAGCAAAGGAGCCAGATGTCAAAAGAATCACAGCACACAATTTAGGGCCAGTAGAACAGACGGAGGTGCTGAGGCCTGGGGGTGCGGTGGCCTAGGCCACACAGCTACTTCGTGGCAGATGGAAACCGAACCTGCAACCCTTCTGAAGCACAGGCCAGTGGCTCTCCCACTATACTGGCTGCTTTTGCCCTGCGATGGAAGGCCTGGCCTCTGAGTTGGGAGATCTGGTAGGAGCGACCAGGCCTCACTCTCCTGGCATGGCCACTGTCCTGGGAGTGGTCAGGGGAAGGAGGTGGGAAGGCAGAGCCCCCAGAGTGACTATGAGCCTCCCTGCTGTCATCCTCCTTCCCCTGGCCCTCCCTGGCTAAATGGGTACCATCCACAAGAAGGACCACCGGAAAAGCGCAGGTCAAGGCTTCGGGGCATCTTTGAGACCCTTCCCCGCCCCATGGGCAGACCTGTGCTAACTCTCACTCCTTCTGCAATCTCCACCTTTGAAAGAATTGATTCTTTTAAATCTAGAATTCTTGCCAGGCTCTCCAAATCTCCTAAGCAAAGTGTGACAGTGTTAGTTGCTCAGTCGCGTCTGACTCTTTGTGACCCCATGGACTGTAGTCCACCAGGCTCCTCTGTCTATGAGATTTCCCAGGCAAGAATAGTGGAGTGGGTTGCCATTTCCTCCTCCAGGGGATCTTCCCGACCTGGGGATCGAACCCCAGTCTCCTGCATTGCAGGTGGATTCTTTACCATCTGAGTCACTGGGGAAGCCCCTCCTAAGCATAGGGCTAAGATATTTGAGAAATTAGCTGACTTTCAGCTGAGAGTAAGACCTTGTGGGAACAGCAGGAGAACACGCCCCAGTCTGGCAGTAGAAAACCTATCTCCCGGGCTGGAAACACAGGGGCAGCTGCCAAGACCAGCAGCTGAAGCCCCCTGATGTGGAAGCAAATGGTGGCTGCCCTGCCTTGCTCAGCTCTGCCCTGGGCTTCTGTCCGGCTCTGGAGCTGAGCTGAGACCTCAGAGACCCCCCGAAGGGAGGACAGGGTGAGTCACAGGGGGCGTACATCAAGCCCTGAGGCTCTGTGAGCACCTTGGAAGGGAATCAGTCCCTTGACCAGAAGCCCCCATTTTGAGGAAGAGGCTTCATAAAGGAAGGAAGGTTGGAAGGTGGGACGAGGCAGTGCCGTGGAGACAGCAGGACTTGACCGTGGGCAGCTGGGCTGACCCTGCAGCCTCACATGGAGCTCAGGCGAGTACATCATGGCTCTCCTGGTCAAGGCTACACCAGAGGGGCCTTGAGACTTCCCTGAGACCCCCTCCAACCAGGACCCGGGTATCTTTCAAGTCAGGCATGTAAAGTGAAAGTGTTGTCGCTCAGTTGTATCTGACTCTTTGCAACCCCATGGACTGTAGCCTGCCAGGCTCCTCTGTCCATTGAATTCACCAGGCAAGAGTACTGGAGTGGGATATCATTTCCTTCTCCAGGGGATCTTCCCAACTTGGGGGTCAAACCCAGGTCTCCTGAATTGCAGGCAGTTTCTTTACCATCTGAGCCATTAAGGAAGGCATGGAGGGGGATGCTGTTCAGGCAGGGGGTGGGGGTGCACAGGGATTTGGGGAGCTCTAGTCAACCGGGAGCCTGGCAGGGGGCGGGGTCTTGAGACAAGCTGCAGGATGATCCAGCTAACGAAGCCCCACCGAAAGCTTCCTGCCGGCCTCTGCATTGGGCCATCCCGTGCACACGCTGTGTGTTTAACTGCAGCATGCCTTGTATTTTGATTGAGATGAATTCCCGTTTTCCAGCCGTAGACCCACTATGTCAGCCAGCAGCTCAGAGATCTGCTTTCTCAGTTTCTCCCCAGTTCTGGACCCTCCCAGCCCCCTGTCCTGGGGCTGCTCCCAGATGCATTGCGGGAGCTCTCCAGTGGGTCCCCCATCACCACCTCTAGCTGGAGAGGCCACAGGAGCCAGAAGAGCAGGATGAAATCTATCAGCTTGCCTTTAAAGAACAGAGGAAGGAGACTGTCTTGTTAGTGCCCAGGGCCCCCTCCCAACTCTACTAATAAAGACTAGGCATTTGACTTGCACCAAGCACTGTGCTAAGCACTTGATTTAGGTATTAAACTCATCCCCTCCACGTAGTCACCCTGTGGGCAAGGTACTGTAGTTATGTCCACTTTACAGATGGGGACACCAAGGTACAGAAGAGAAGAGTCCGGGTCATACCTATTGTGAGTGTAAGAGCAGAGATTCCAACCAGAGCTCACAGGTATAGCCATCCTGCCCTGCCTCTCAAGCCCACGTAGGACTAAGGACTCCAAGGTAATGATGACCCCAAAATGGTTTCAGAAAAGTAAAAAGTCCTCTACACACATCAGCAGTTCCAGGGCAAGGCCAGGAGCAATGCCCAGGTGACAGGGAGCTAAGGAGCTTGCCTGCCTCCCGAGAGCCACCCTGACTGCCCCCTGGAGGGTGTGTGTGACCCCGGCAAGGATGGGAATTGGGAGGGGCCAGAAGGACCAGGAAGGGCCAGTGTCCCTGCCGAGGCCATGCTCACCCCGAACACCTTCTTGGCCCCTGCCTTGGCAGCAAACATGGACAGGATCCCGGTGCCGCTCCCCACGTCCAGGACCACCTTGTCCTTGAACACGTGTTTGTTGTGGTACATGGAGTTCCGGTAAGTGAGCGTCCGCACCTCATCCTTCAGCATCTCCTGTGTGGAAGGAAAGGCAGAGTCGATGTGTTCAGGGCACCTGGCCACACACATATAGGGTCACACACCCAGGGCTGTCCCGCCAAATTCTTCAGGGACCTCAGCTCTGTCACAAGGACAAGCCACGGGAGAGTGTGGCTAGGCCAGGGCCCCCGCTGGAGACACACAATGCCCTAAAGGTCTGCCCCAGGAAGGTTGCTTCGTACCATCGAAGGAGAAACTCCCATCCAGACCTGGGAAGGCTCCAATTTCTCAAAAACCAAAAAAAGGAGCAGTATGAGCACAGCATGAGGGGTTTAAGTTAGACCTGAAGCAGAACTTTCTGTCGTGGTGAGAGAACTGTCATTCTTACTCCTTTCCTGATTACGTGCCCTGGACTTCAACTCCACCATCAGACATGGAGACAGTGACCTTACACAGTTGCATGAGGCACCAAGAATAGCTCCTGAGGAACAGAGCTTAAGGATGGGTTCTCTGAATAGGTTCTGAGTTTTCTGGAATTGGTTCTCTGATCCGATTAGATTTAAAGGCATTAATGAATCTGTTGCCATTGGTGAAGAGGGCACTGGTGAAATGGCAAAAGTGTTATTAGCCTTAGATATCTGTGATAAAGTTCCTACAAAAGACAGGACTCCGAGTGACCAAGTATTTCCGACCTTATAGCATTTTAATGGGGTGTATTGGTCGGTCGGTTGGTTGTTGCTAATTGTACTAGAAAACTTAAAGGAAGAAAATGATGAGCTGAGGGACTTAAATTCCCAGCTCATTTAGCACCTGAAAACTTCTATGACTTCTAGGAGAAAAAAAAAGGAAGAAAAGAATAAAAGTGGGGCGTGAAACCCTTATTTTCTTGCAAGGTCAAGATTTCTGAAAAGCAAAGCCAAAGTCTAATCTTGTCTGAATGACAATACAGATTGAATCTCTTATCCTTGCAGGGTCTCTTTGTTAAAGTTGAGTCGTTAACTGGAAAAGAACAGAGTCCTGAGAACTGGAATGGGAACATACGGGCAGATTCGGGTGAAGCTGAGACCTCAAGTTTCTAAATTGCAGTCTTGTCTGCCAGCAGAAACACCTTCTACCCCTGCCCAAGAAAGCTCGTTTTCCTTTTCCTAAAGAGCCTCACCCGTATGTGCTATGCTAAGTCACCTCATCTGTATAGGACTCTTTGCAACCCCATGGACTGTAGCCCACCAGTCTCTGCTGTCCATGGGATTCTCCAGGCAAGAATACTGGAGTGGGTTGCCATTTCCTCCTCCAGGGGATCTTCCCGACCCGGGGATTGAACTCGTGTTTCTTACAGTCTCCTGCATTGGCAGGTAGGTTCTTTTTATCCCTAGCGCCACTGGGATAGGGTTGGTGAGGGTGGTCCTAAGTATTTGTATTACTTTGCAAGCAACTGTACCAGTATGGGGCTTCCCAGGTGGCATTAGTGACTAAGAACCAATCCCCCCCCCACCCCGCCAAGGAGACGCAAGAGATGTGGGTTTGAGCCCTGGGTCAGAAAGATCCCCTGGAGGAGGGCATGGCAACCCAGTCCAGTATTCTTGCCTGGAGAATCCCATGGACAAAAGAGCCTGGCAAGCTACAGTCCATGGGGTTATAAAGAGTCAGACACAACTTAGTGACTAAAGAACAACAAAATAGCAAGGCACAGACAGTGACCCAGGAGGAGGTGTGATACACACCAAAATAACTACATGATACTTCTAACTTATACAGATTGAAATCTGGGGAATAGCTGGTGGGGGGGAGTTGTATAGCAAGAGTGAGAGAACAATTTGAAGGGAACATAAAGTTGGATAGAGCCAAGTCTATTGACATGGGTCCACTGAGCAAAGATTGTGGATTCACTGTTTTACCTCCAGGGGCTTGGAGCGCATCTAATAGTCGTGGTTGATTGAAGCAAACATGGTCAAAGTTAGCTGACACTAAATGAATTGGAAATGCCAGCACATCCCTGATAAGCAGAAAAAGAAGGTATCCAAAAAGAGTCAGGGAGATTGGAAAGGTAAAGTGCATCTGTCATGTGAGACCCACACACCAATGCCAGAGACAGACCCACCCACCAATGCCAGAGACAGACCCACCGCTATGAGGCAGAAGTTTACGAGGGAAGTCCAGCATCCTTGACCAGTTCTGTGTGCCCTTCTCTCTAGGTCAGAAATTATACTGGGAATTGAGATCCAAGTTACCATGGGATCAACATCCAGCTGGGATCCTGGGGTAGCAGGGGCCAACTTGTAGCATGTAACTACCAAAGATGAGGAGGGTGTGGTCACTGCGAAGGACAGGAGAGCCAGAGCAGTATTTGGAAGAGTTTGGCTCACCAAACCCTAGGGGGTGACCAGTTAACTAAAATACCTCTAGAAAATAAGTCGTGAGAAGCATACTAAATTCTTACTTGTTCTGTTTCAGCAAAAAAGTTATAGGTCTAGTGAATGGAAGTCTGGCTTGAATCACCAAAACAGGGTCATCACTCCTCAATGGATTCCCAGATTTAAGCCAGTTTACAGACTCAGGACTCCTGGGATAAAAGGAAGGCTATGTTATAGGAGAAGAAAACTTGTCATGTTGCCAAAAATGTGCACTATTCATCTTTCTCCAAGTCTTCCTCCTAGAAAACCTGCAGGCATTTAGTAGTGTGTCTTCATTGGAGAAAGGAAAATAAACAGATTTTTGAGGATTATTGGACACCAGCCCTGAACTATTGGATCACTAGTTTCATGAGATCCATGAGACCATGGGACTAATTCCAGGAAACCCACATCTACATTCAATTTGTCCATTTGGCCCGTGCAGAGAGAGGTGGAACTTCGAGAGTGACCATGGATCCTCATAGTCAGGTGAGGACTACGATTGCAGGGGCTGTCTCAGATGTGGTTTCATTGTTTGAGCAAATCAATCCAGAAGGTTACTGGCCTTTTTAAAAATCAATTTTAGACATTTATCCATCCACATTTTTTCAAACATTTTTTTTTCTGTCCCATTCTTTCTCTTCTCCTCTTGAACTCCAATTACTCGCATGTTTTACCACTTAATTCTGTCTTACAGTTCATCAAGGCTCTGTTTCACTTGTCAATTTTTTTCCTCTCCATTCTTCAGTTTCAATGATGTCTTTCTTTCCTGTCCTCATATCCATACATATTTTCTTCTGTGTATTCTATTTGTTATTAATTCCATCCAGCAAATATTTGGTTTAGATATTGTGTTTTTCAGTTGGAAGATTTCAGTTTCACCTATTACATTCATTACCTCTCCCTAGAAACTTTTAAAAATCATTTTTATTATACTGATAGCTATTTACAAATCTTTATCTTATCAGTCCAACACCTAGGCTGCCTGTAGATCTGTTTCTATTGACTGATTTTTCTCTTGACTATGAACCAAATTCTCTTGTTTCTTCTCAGGTCTTGCCACTTATCTTTTATGCCACGGATGGTGTCTAAGGAACAATAGTAGCTGAAGTTAGTTGTTTCTCTAAGTGGGAATGGCCTTTCTTTCTAGGCAGCTAGAATGGTGAGTTGATCGGCTCAGTCCAATCAAGGGGTGAGCAGATTAGGAGTTGAGTAGGATGCGTTCAGATGGGGGAATTTAATTCATCTATCAGGGCCTTGGAATTCAACTACAAGAGCTAAAAGTATTTGTGCTTGCTTTTCAGTCTACACACTACTTCCTGTGTTGCCCCAAGGCTCATATCTTTGGTTATCTTAGAAGCTGAATAAGGTGATGGCTTGGTTAGACTGAATTCATATCTCAGTCTAAATACTTTGAAAGTGAGTTTGTGCCTTTCCTTCCAGAAGCTGTCTGGGACCAAATACTGCAAGATCACTTGACATTAAAAAAAAAAAACAAACAGGGCCTCAAATCTGAGAGCCTACAAGACTGAAAGATGGCATCCTCAGAACCAGGCAGGGGGCACAGTGTGCAACCTGTGCTCTATAAGGAAGGGGCCAGGACACCTGCACGCAAACCACAGCTCCAGTGAGCTCTCTGATAGGCCCAGAGTATATTTATCCTTCCGTGTCTTAGTCTCATTTGAAAAATGGGATAATGAGAGCAGCTATTTCATAGGGTCGTTGTCATGACCAAATAAGGGAAGGAATTGTTACAAAAGTGCTTAGCTCTGGGTCTTTCTGAAAACAAGGACCCTTTCCATCTCTGGGAGGAGATTGTTGAGGGTGAGTAGGGAATGGAGGCAAAAAGATGACAAAGATTCAGAAGTCTCCCAATCACACGCATAGTTCCAACTCCACTGCCTTTCCCAGTGGAATTAGATCGGCCCAGTGTCTCTGCAGATTCTGCTGTTGCTAAAAGGGATCTCCCCAGGGTCCCCTTCAATTCGTCACCTTTTGTCATTTCTTTGGCCCCCTTTTCCCTTCCTTAAGGCTTCAGACCACAGGAGTTCAGTCCAAAGGCACTAGTTGTGGGGGAAGAGAAACTGTGGCGTAGCAAGGCTATGTCCCTGGCTCCCCAGCCCTCCCTCGCTTCAATCCCTCCTGAAAGAGAACAGCCCGGAGACATCTGCAGACACTCAGACAGGAGCGGGCCAGTGCAGCGGCAACAGCTCCCACCCCCAGCTGGGGGTGACTTTGTCTCCTGCCCACTGAACACATGGTGGCACATTGACTAATGGCTGGGAAACGCGGCCCCGAGGAATCTATTTCAAAAAGAACCTGCAGCCAGACTGTCAAAAGAAGAGAGCTGGCTGGGAGCGGGTGGGGTGCCCAGGCCTGGGGGAGGCTGGGAACACGGTTGCGCCGGGCTTGATTCTTCTGGCAGCGGAGGCGGGATCTCACAGGTCGTGGGGCCGGGCCCCTCCCCTCTGCACACGAGGACATCTGTCGCTTCCGCTCCTTTCTTCTTGCAGAGGCCGTGGGACAGGATTCACGGTCCTCCTCTCCCTGTCCCCTGCCTTCCCAAGGCCGAGCATGGAGTCAGCTCTGGGGGAACCATAGGATGCAAGACCAGAAGTGTTCAGAATCACTTCCCACTGTGCCTCCCAACCTCCAGCGGTGCCCCCCACCACCACACCGGGCACTTGTTTGTATTTGCCGACTAATCAAATCCAAGCCTGCCCACGTCGTGTTTCCTAAACACTCGCTGGTCACTATGAATCAGCGAACTGGCGGCACTGCTGCCGGCCCACGTGAGGGTCTTGTTGACGACGGGAGAAGCCCGCCGAGTGGCCAGCTCAGTGCCGGGTAGGCTGTGAGGTGTGGGTCTTGTCCAGACTAGGAGGTAAAGGCATCCCCACTAGCCGTCTGGCATGGAGAGGGGATCTCTGGTGTCTGATAACAGAGAAATGAACAGGCGCTCTCTGCAAAGGATCACAGAAGGAGGTCTTCCACCCTTCCCGACCTCCTTTCACAACGGGCAGTCACAGAGACGAAAGGGCTGGAGGGGAGCTTAGGGGTAAAGGGAGGCCAGTTAGCCCCCGCCACTATTAAAGACCCCTGCGTTTCCCCAGGGGCCAGGATCTAGGGATGGCCCCCTGTGATTTCAGCTGGGTCATCCAAAGTACTTCCCGATGTGAAGGTCTGGTAAACTATTTTAGGACAGGTTACTAAGGAGAGATGTGAAGTGCGTGACCTGAATGTAGATCCTCTCTCTACTCCAGGTTCACAAGCTCACTCAGTCCGCACTCCGCTCGTATGTGTTCATGAGCAGGTGTGAGTTTTCCAGTGACACATGAAATGCAGGGAACCTGATCATACTGTCTGCAGGAGGTCACACTGGGTGACTCCCCCCAGGGGACATCAGACGCTCCAGATGCCCAGCCATGGAGGGACCAGCAGTGCCCGGGTGAGTAGATGCGCCACTAATTCAACAAACCCGTACGAATCAGACAATGTGCCGAGTGCCTGGGTCGGAGGCCGGGAACCCTGTCCTGAAGGAATCTTAGAGGCCTAAGAGCTCAGAGAGAGCATCCTGCCCACATGTGTTGTGGTGGGCGGAGGGGTCAAAGGGAGCGGGTCAGACGGGAGGGGCCTACCACAGCTGGCTGGTCCTTAACAGGAGGGCGGGGGGGCGGGGGTATTGGGGGACCTCTAGAACTATTGTCCCGGTGCTTCAGGGCGTAAAGAAGCTGCCTTCAATGCAGAAGACCTGGGTTCGATCCTTGGGTCGGAAAGATCCCCTGGAGAAGGAAATGGCAACCCACTCCAGTATTCTTGCCTGGAGAATCCCATGGACAGAGGGGCCTGGCGGGCTGCAGTCCATGGGGTCACCAAGAATCTTACATGACTGAAGACTGACACAGAACTGCTGCCTCTTCCTAGGAACCTGCTCTGAGACAGGTGCCCAGAGTCCCAGGCTGGTCCTTTAATTAGAGGCAGGTTCCTGAGGAGGGAAGCTCTTGAGAGCACCCTTCCTGCCTCCTAGGACAGGGCTCTATCCACCATCCCCACCCAGATAGAAAAGAAAGAAGAAAATGTTAGTCGCCCAGTCGTGTCCGACTCTTCGGGACATCATGGACTGTAGCCCACCAGGCTCCTCTGTCCATGGGATTCTCCAGGCAAGAACACTGGAGCGGGTTGCCATTCCCTTCTCCAAGGAATCTTCCTGACCCAGAGATTGAACCCAGGTCTCCTCACAGCAGGCAGATTCTTTACCGTCTGAGCCACCAGAGAATGCTAGCTTCCCAACCCCAATGGGAACCACCAAATGCTGCAGGCTCAGCTGCCCAGGGGTCCCTCGGCCGGGACCCTGGAGCTAAACACATGGTCCAGCCCTTTCCCTGCAGGCCCCATGCTCTGATGCGGAGGGCCATCTTCAGGGGGGGATCAGACCCCTCCACCCTCTACCTCCTTGGGAAACTGCAAAGGGACCAGCAGGAACAAAGGCAAAGTTAGAAAGAGAGAAAGAAAGGCCCATTTAAAACGCTGTACGGCCCCAGGGCCACAAACGGGAAGGTTTCATTTCGAGCTCTGCCAAGTATCAGCTTGAGCACCAACAAACCAGCAAAGATGAATGGAGGTTGATAAGAATCTTAAGGTCGTATAGCCTCATCTGTGAAATGGGGACAAATAATAATACCAACCTTGTTGGCTTTTTCGGCCTGAGGAACCAATGAGTCAGTAACATAAAACATGGGGAACAACACCCAGTGTGGATGGAGTAGGCACTCAGGAAAAGAAAAAGCTGCCTGTGACTTATTAAACATGCCTTTGGCAATGCAGCACCACTGTTTGGATACAGGAAGGGTTTACAGAAGCATCTAATTGAAAGGGGAGCTCCGAGACTCCTTTTGAAAAAGCATTTGCATAGCAAGCGAGCCTTTGTTCCTTTTTCAAAACGTTTTTGTACAGTAGGGGGATCATAGAAACACTTTCCTCATAGAGTGCTTGGGGCTTCGATGCAACGACACAGATAGCTTGCTGAGAAGAGCGGCCAGCCCTGAGTACGCGCTTGGCTCATCTCATGTCTGTTGTTTAGTTGTTTATCTGGGGTGAGGAGGTGCTGGAGGTGGTGGGGGAGGGAGGTAAGAAATACTGCCTGTGCCCCCGCTGCAGCCAGGAAGCTCTCGTTAGAAGGCTCTGTTCTGTTCCGCAGCTAACATCAATCTCCCCTGCTATGGAAGAAGACAGCATTTAGACATAAGAACTTCCTGAGAATCAATCAGGGTGTCAGACAGCCCCAGGTTCCCAATGAAGCCTGCTGATCCTGCCTAGAGGTGCTCACTAGTCCAGAGCGAACTTGCGGACCCATGTCTGCCTGAAGACAGGACATCAAGATGCCAGAAGAACCCCAGCTGCAAAGCATCTGGTAGTAAGGACCAAGGATGTCTGGTCTTCTTGGACCTCCAGGCTCAGGCTCAGGAAGAGGTGAGGATGCTGGACCATAAAACAAGGACCCCAGAAGCATCTCTTCCTCTTCGATTGAGAAACACCCAGTCACATGCTTTCCCTTGCTCACCGGCTCCAGGCCTGGCCCTGATCTCTTACTTGGAGAGCCCCCAGGATGAAGACAGGCCCTTGGCCTTGAGCTTTGGGGAGATCTCCCTTAATGACAGCAGAGAACTGCATGCGGGATGCTGACCTAGGAAAAAGTGCGGTCAACGCAGGACCCAGCTTGCCTCGCTTGGCCAAAAGCGCAGAATGCCGTACCTCGTGGATCCCAAAGTGGGCGTAGGAGTCGAAGTAGTAATCCCTCGAGGTCATCTCCTCCGGGTTCAGCAGCTTGGACATCTTGCCCCGTCCCGGGCAGCTGGGCTGAGTGGACACGTGGTGGACACACTGCACAGGCTTGGCTGGGACGACCGGCTGCGGGGGCTGAGATGGGGGGCTGCTCACCTTCGGGAAAGAGGAGGGGCAGGTGTGAACAGCGACCACGTCGTGCCCTCTGAGATTCCGCCCTCCCTCTTCCTCTCCCTCCCCTCCCCCAATCCAGCTTCCATCAGCCCCAGCAGCCAAGGTGAGAAGGGATGGTATCCCCAAGCTGATGGTCGTGCTGTGTGGTCGGCAGTGTGCTTACCTAGGAACCAAACCTACCTGTTGTTTAGTCGCTAAGGTGTATCCGACTCTGCAACCCCATGGGCAGTAGCCACCAGGCTTCTCTGTCCATGGGATTCTCCAGGCAAGAATACTGGAGTGGGTTGCCATTTCCTTCTCCAGAAGATCTTCCTGACCCAGGGATCAAACCCATGGCTCCTGTATTGGCCACTGAGCCATCAGGGAAGCCTCCTGAATTTAACCCAATTCTGTCTCCTACTAGTTGGTGACCTGGGCTGATGTGTGCCTCAGTTTGCATATCTGTCAAATGGGGACATTAATACCTTTCCTTAGAGGAGAATAAAGGGAAAGAGGTAATAGTGTCACATAGCACCCCATAGCAAAGTGGCTGGAGTATGGATCTCAAGGGCCAGTCCCCTTAAACATGAATCCCTGCCACTCACCAGCTGCACAAACTTGGCCAGAGTTATTCACCTCTTGGCGCCTGTTTCCCCAACTCTAAAATGGGAATATAAAGGTCCCCACTTCGTAGAACCGTCCTGCAGACTAGGGAAGGTGGTATCTGGAAAGGGCTCAGAGAAGGGCCCAGGGCACCATGAATGTATTTGACGAAAACAAATCCCATCTGTATTCTTAGGCAGCTCAAGCCCCTGGACTTCTCTCCACCACACAGGCAGCCCCCGGCCCCCGAAATGCAGGTCTCTTGGGTTCTGGTTTCTCACACCTGTTGTCTGCCCTCCCCCGGTTTCTGGTTCACTGTTTGAATCTGAACTTCAGCAGAAGTTTGCTCTGAGCTGCAAGTACCCTCACTGATAGACAACCTCCTGTGAGTGCATGGCCCATCCCTGGTTCCCTGACCTGACAGCCAGCTCAGCTCCACCCCCTTCAGCTTCTGCTCAGCACTGACCAGTCCTTCCTCCTCCACTGGCTAAGGGGACGGCAGAGGAGGAGGCCGAAGCCCAGAAGTTCAGGTTTCGCTGCAGAAACATGGTTCTGCCAGGAGAAGATTGCCTTTCCCAAAGTGTAGGAAATCCAGGCGTCCCGAATTTGTACAAGTCTATTTTAAGTGATGCATTAATACGTGTAAAGAGTTTAGAACACTTTTTGCATATAGTAAGTGCTTTATTATATGAATTATCATTGGTTAATTAATGCTGAAGCTGAAGCTCCAATATTTTGACCACCTGATGCAAAGGGCCGACTCATTGGAAAAGACCCTGATGCTGGGAAAGATTGCAGGCAGAAGGAGAAGGGGATGACAGAGGATGAGATGGTGGGATGGCATCACCGACTCAATGGACATGGGTTTGAGCAGACTCCAGGAGATGTTGAAGGACAGGGAAGCCTGACGTGATATAGTCCACGGGGTCACTAAAAGTCAGACATGACTTAGCCACTGAAAAACAGCAACAATTGGTAGTAGTAGTAACAATATTCCGAGTACACTAACATCTCCTTATTTATGCCTCAGTTTTCTCATCTGTGTGCTGGGTCAACACAGACTTACTATCTCCTCTCCAGCAAGGGAAACAGGGAGGTCCTAGGACAGAGCAAGATCAAGAGGTCCGAGTCCACCCCTCCACTGTCCTGCAGGCATAGCCCCAAGACTGCCCAGAGCCCTGGGCTGGAGGGGAGCGAGCTCGAGGGGGTGGTGATGGTCCCGTTTTCCTGGTGTATCTAGGCTACAGCCTCTGGGAAATAAGCAGACTTCCCAGTTTAGCAACATCAGATTCCAGGTCGGCACGATCCCGGGCTGTCTGGCAGAGGAAGCAATGGGCTGCCTCATTAGAATGCAGCAGGTGCGCCCACCCCACACTTGGGATGTTGGTCACGGCCTCTGGGAGGCTAAAAATAGACTGTGTCAATTGCACACTCCCGTGCTGGCTGCAGAGTCACCTCTAACGCTGGAGAGGGTTCTGTTCATGAAGCTGACCCCAAGCTTGACTCCGTTTAAATGTATTAAGGAGACAGAGAGTCCCAGCTGGACTGGGCTATCCCACGGGCAAGGTCACAGGGGCCTCCTGCACCCCTGAGCTCCATGCCTCTCTGAGTCCAAGGTCCTTGCCACGGGCTTCGTGAGTTTCTTTCCCTGGTGCCAACTTACAAAGTGCCACCACGTGCCTCCCATTGCATCGCAAGGCAAACGATGGATGGATTCGGGACCGTTCATCTCACTAATCACAGGTCCAGGGGACAAAGAATTGACTGTGACCCAAGCCCTGGTACCAAGGCCGTCAGCCCAGCTTGGGCTCCTGCAGAGAGAGGGGACTTGTGATCTGCCTATTGGCGGCCAGGGTGCTCTGTCCCAGGGGGCTGGGGTGGGCAACAGCAGCGGTACGTTACCTCCAGGCATTGCCGCCTGTTTCATTTTGCAAACACCCACTGAAATTTGGCAGCCGTGAGTGCTGTGCATCCAGTGGAAGAAACAAACATGCAAGTACCATGCCCTCAAAAGACACGATCTAGTGTGAGCTGGAGACCCTTGAGGCTCCACTGGATGGTGGAGGAAGATTGGTTTTACAGGAAAAACTCAAGCTAATTGCTCTGGGCCGGGGCGGGTAGGGGTGGGGGTGGAGTGTGGGGTGTGGTGTGAGTTCCAAGTACAGAGAAGTCACTTCAACTTGAAGATTGAGAGAGACCTGAGATCGTGGGGCTTTCTCCATGGATTTTGGTGGCTGAGGATGATGGGAGGGAGTTGACTAGAAGGACGTGAGAATTCCAGGAGGGCGTGGCTTCGGCAAATAGGAAAAGGGTAGAGAAGCAGTGGAGCTTGTTTGGGGAACATGGCGGGGATACTGGGAGATCGGACTGGAAGAAATTGCAGCCAGGCTAAAAGGTTGTAAATAAATATGAGATTGAGAGGGAGCAGTTGGTGGTTTGTAGTCGGGAAGCTCAAAGGTTTGAGCTCTACTTGATGAAGAGTGATGCGCTGGCAGCCTGTGGGGGGTGTGGTGGGGAGAGCTGCAAGGAGGAAGGATGAGGCGGCAAGTGGGGCTGGGAGGCAAAGTATGAGGCTCTGAGCCCAGTTCCAAAGTCCAGATAATGAGCCACTTAGCCACTGTGGCATCAGAGGGGCTGCCTGCCAGAGAAATCGCAGAAATAGAATCCACAGGAGTTGGCAACTGTCAGAAGGGAGGGGAGAAGAGAGATGCTGGAATCAAAGATGACTTCAACATTTCAAGCCTGGCTGACTAGGAAAGTGGTGGTGACACAAACAGAAATAAGCTGGTCAGCAGGAAGAGCCTGCTGGGGCCGGGGGTGGGGGAGGGGGGAGAATAAACTTCGATTTGCCTGTGAGAAGTTGGACACGTCACTGCACCACATGAGGAAAGATGTCCGGCAGGCAGGCGGTGATGTCGTCCCAGCCGGGAAATGCCATAAACACAGCCAAAAGGTCAATGGGAAACTGAGAAGCACGTCTCTGCCACACAAGGCAGCGAAGGTTCATATTCTTCACGCGGCAGAAGTGTTAGCTACTCAGTCGTGACTGCTTCTTGGCGATCGCATGGACTGTAGCCCACCAGGCTCCTCTGTCCACGGAATTCTCCAGGCAAGAACACTGGAGTGGGAAGCCTTTCCCTTCTCCAGGGGAATCTTCTCGACCAATTTAGGGATTGAACTCGGGTCTCCTGCATTGCAGACAGATTCTTTACCCCTTCAAATGGAGGGAGCCCTTACAAACCAGCCAGAACAAGAGGAACATCTCCAATTTAACACTGAACGAAGGATCTTACAGTCAACTCACATGAGGATCACCACAAATGGCAAGTTAACATGCTGCCAGAATATTCAATCTCTCTGGAAACCAGATAACATCCAGTGAACACGAAAAAGTTATAACGTTTAAATTCCAAATAAGCGCAACTCTCTCCCTACCCACTCCAAAAAAAAAAAAAAAAGAAGTAAAACTGGATTTGTAATGATTGCAGAAAAATAAATGCTTTCAGATACTTCTAGTGCTAGTGAGACTTTTTGGGAAAATAGTTTGACAAGTGCATTAAAAGTGGTAAAAAGCACAAATCCTTTAGCACAGCCATTCCATTTTTTTAAATATATTCTAAGGAAAGAATCGTGGATAATCATAAGCACGTGGCTGTAAGAATTTGGTGATGACTCTATTCATCACGGCAGGAAATGAGTCAGGGGCTTCCCTGGTGGTCCAGTGGTTAAGACTTTGCCTTCCAGTACAAGGGGTGCAGGTTTGATCCCTGGTCAGGGAGCTTAAGATCCCACATGCCTTTTGGCCAAAAACACAAAACATTACACAGAAGCAATATTGCAACAAAATTCAATAAAGACTAAAAAAAGGAAGAAAGAATATGAGCCAACCTGGGGTTTTCACAAAACAGAACTGATTGTACAAACCACGGAGCATCTACACAGCCGTTTCAAATGTGGCGGAAGAGTGTTTAATAACAGAAATGTGATCGTGACGAACTGTGGGTTGAGGAGCGCCAGTGGGAGAAGAGAGAGCATTTTTAGAACTGAAGCCTCTTCATGCCTGTGAGTAAGGAGGGGAGGCCTGGGGAAGGTCCTAGAGTCGGCGGCAACTGTCACAGCGTGTTGGGTTGTGGACAGTTCATTCCTTCCGTCCTTGTGCTGGTTCATGTATTTTTAAATGTACCGCCACGAACCAGTACGAGTTTTGCGAAGAGCTGAAAGTAGAAACACTGAACTGTGACCCCAGACCTCAGATGGAAGCTTAGGCTGGCTCTCTAGATTTGGAGGCCATCTGCAGAGGAGGGGGCCTGAGGGGTTCACTTGGAGAGAACTCAGGGAAGAGGGTAGGGGGGTGAGGATGGGGCAGCGAGGAGCACCCTCCTCCAAGGACCTTGGAGGCA